GTTTTGAAGAGCGCCCCCATTTGGAAGATGCGTACCCCCCCCCCCCTTTTTCATTTTACGGAGGCCAAGTGTCCGGAGAAAAAAACCCCTGTCTACATTTCTGTGCGGATATGCGAACACCTTAGGTTGGCTGTAAATAAAATGTATATATGCTTTGAAAGCAGTAATATGCAACTTGTGAAGTCTTTCGACTGATTTTAGGGCGTTACTGGGTTAAACTTTGACCTGTTTTTAACGACCAGAAAAAGCTTTTTGTGCACGCGAAGAAAGGCACACAATCGACACAGGGTTGTTATTTTGGTCCCTGGGGACGTGGAAGGCCCCTGCAACACGCGCAACGCGAAAACATGACTGTCCATTGATCAACATACTATATCAAAATAGACAGTTTTAATTGTTGTATAACGAGTTTAATCTAGGAATCAAAGTCATAAGTCATTGGGTAATTCACGCTGAATTCAAGGTCCGATAGGCAAATGTCCACCCACACAAACCTACGTTTTCGATGCTTCAAATGAGCTTAAGATGGAATAAATGGTTTGGTTTTGGTGTGAAATACCTTTTGGGGAAAACGAAACAGCCTTCGGTGTACCTGCGTTAAAGGCCTAACGTTTTCAGCATTAAGACATAATGCATAACTACTTCGCAATTAAAATGAAGCAAACATTTCCTTCATGTCTTTTAATCCGGAGAAACCCAGCAATATACAGGCAATTCCCAACACAGTGCGCCACCAAGAGGTTGCCATTTTATTGACCTAAGAGTAGTTTTTTTTGGGGGGGGGGAAGACCTAGATGCAAATAATGACTTCTGAAATACTTAGCCAGTCTTGATTCATGTACTAATGATTAAATCTCGGATACGGTACCTGTATATTACGTGTTTTCTGGAAAAGGCAATAAATATTGTTTTCATAGGTGCACTTTTTGTCCTGGGAGTGCATAAACGTTCTTTATAGATGTTGAAAACATGTCAAAGGTTAACTGAGAAACGCCTACATGTAGAAAAAAAAATATGAAATGCCTCTATAGGCATAATAATTCCTTGATTTAATAGCTTGTGACTCCTTTCAGCAAAGCAACAAAGACATCACTTCAGTTAGTCCCGGAGTTATAGGCGGAGTTGAATTAAGAATTTGAGCCCAACAGGTACCACGCCATTGCATGTCGGGGGTATAGTTCTGAAATGGCCTTTCTTAAGTTTCCCTAGGTCGGATGCGGGTCAGAGGACCAACGTCAAATGTCAAAAATGTTGAGTTTAATTAACATGATGCGCACAAGAAGTGTATATTTATATTTATATAAATAATCACCAAATTCAGATGTCCACCACTGATCACTTGCATATGCATTAATGAATACCTGTTAAATACAATGAACCATTGTTTTTCCCCTATACCTCCATGAATGAACAAAATCTTACAAAGCAAAACTCACAAGAACCAGTCCATGATCATTATTTCCGAAAGAGACTTGATTTGTTCCTCATATACAAAACACAAAATCTGATAGTAAAAATAATGTTTCAGTCTTGACTCAAATTATTAAAATCTCATTTATATTTGAATGCATGTGTGTAAATCTCTGGTTCTCAGCTGAATAGCTTCAAAACAATTATGTCTCATTGGACAGCCGGTCAAGTGGGTTGTTTTAGTGAAACATGTATAAAGTCTGCCTTTTTTCATATGAGTGGAAGAACATGCTCGTTTGATATTATGCATCATTGGTGTATACATTTTAATTGCCTTTTAAGGGAAATAATAACTAATCCAGGTCACTTTCTTTTTGACTCGCCCTGTCTTACCCCTATCAAATCCTCCTAGATGTCCCGAAAGAATTATCTAGGAATCAACGACCAACACAAAAGAAGGGGCCGGAGATAATTACCTAACAATAGAAATCTCGCAATGACATCGAAAGCTACGTCACTGTAATATTTTTGATTCCAAAAAGGTATCTAAATATTTCTTAATAGAAATCTCAATGCGCGCGTAACCGTTAGCCCGTCCACGCCATGAAAAAGTTATAAGGTTAGAACAATTAATTCGGTGTAATTTGCACAGATCCTATATGATAAGCAATGTCATGAAATTCCCTTCTGGGTTTTACGGTGACCCAGAAAGAACTGATCGAGTACTAAGTAAGTCAACGTCGGATTTAAAAGTTGAACTTCTTTTGAACTATTTGATTCCTGGCCTGATACGATCTAAATTGCCTAGCAGGAACAGCTCACAAACCAGAATTTTTTTTCTTCCAATGTTGATTTTACGGGGGTTTCTGGGTAATTTTTTCAACACTCATACAAAAGGCTTTTATGAACTTGTAGGAACGATATAAAGAAACACCAAACAAATACGTGGACCGTTAAACTACCTGTATAACATGGATGGAAAAGTGAACGTGCGTTTATGGCAAACCCTGGGGCTATAACTTTCAAATCGTCCTTCAGCAGGGGTCTACAATGTTATGCCTTCAGCGACTAAACCAGGGGATTAAGCCCAGGGCCTCTGTGGGCCTAGCTGTTGCATGTACATAAGGGGTTTCTAATAGTCACGGTTTGACCGAGAAAGTTTGAAAGGGAAATGGAGACATTCATTTGAAATTCAAAGTCTGGTAGTCGTTTATCAAAACACAAATCTTTACGAGGAAACAGAAATTAGCATGAAATAAGTAAAGTATCAGTTTGAACAATCATGCCGTCGAGCGAAGACCCAATATTTAAGGTTTCCTGTGTTTAATGTTTTAAGAAATTTAATTAATTAAAATGCAAGAATCGTTTTAGTATCACTGATCGCAAACCAATATGCGAAGGTGTGAATATCGCTGGTAATTTTTTTTTAATTCCTATTTTCTTAGCAATTCAAAAATTATTCAAGTTTGAGTGAGGCATGAAAATTCCACCGACGTTTTGTTATGAGAACGAGTATGTCTGTACGTGGGTAAACCAACTTAACGAAGGCTTGGTTATTCGTCGCTTCGTCAGATATGGAGGCGTGCTGTTCTGAAGTGTCGAATAACTTATTCGTCAGTTCGCTTGGCTACCCTTGCCCCCCCCCCCCCCCCCCCCCCAGGCTACGCATATGCACCCAGCGATGAAAGAAAATAATGTGGATATTTTTTTTCTCAATATTCCCGATCCCCCTGTCTCAACAATATTGCCCATTTTATATACGAGGTGAAGAGTCCATTGAGTATTCTTCATACAATCTCACATGAATGTGCCGTAATCCTTTTACTGCAAACCGTCGACGACAGACGGCCGTCTGTGGTTTCCGTAGACACACCCATACGACTGAGTGCATGGAGGAACAGACTATCCCAAAAATAACAGAGAGTGTAAAAGATTAAGAAAGGGAAAACTGCAAAGGAGATTGAATTTTTGGATGAAGCAGCCAGTCCAGTACTTCGGCATAGCTGCATGACTAAATATGCTGAAAGGAAACATGACATACTTGGGACCATCTACCAGGAGCGAAGATTTCTTCTCATCTTTGGATAATTGTTCAAATCCAAATTCCATGTAAATTCTAATACAATGCATATTCATATACTACGTTCATTGCCCCGAAATGATAATTTATGTATCTTTTCATTTGATATACATGTATAATCGTGCCAACATCAGACTACTTAATCTCATTGTGTTTCAAGAATGAATCATTCGGCGTCTTCACTCAATACAGCAATCTAATTCTTAAAGAAACCCTTCAATTAACATTTCTATAATTGAGACCGCAAACTTGAATGGTAAAACATATTGATGACCTCTTCAGCGCCTCTCAGAAACGCGTAGTCCTTTTGGCCAAATAGCAAAAGAAATTGGCCTGGTTTTGTTTTATACATTTCGGGGTCAACGAATCTAGTATCCGGATGTGAATTTTATCACAATTTGCATATAATTTTGATTTACAAATTCAACCAAAGATGAAAACAAATCTCAGCTCCTGATACGGTAGATGCTTGATCCTCAGCAGGGAATTGTGTTGGTTGTCTGCATTTCTATTCTGATTAATTATTTTTTTGTAAATTTATCACAGTTGAGAACATCACCATTAGTGCCAATGAGTCTGTGCGTGTGACGTCGCCGCTGTTTCCAAACATATATCCCAACAATGTTGACCAGACCTGGCTCCTCCGCACAGATGAAGACCGCAAAATTCGCGTCAACTTCTTCGACTTCTCCACTCAGAGATATGGAGACTACTTCCGGGCTGGCGATGGGAGCGAAATGGGAGTCAACGAGTTTTTCAAGTGGAGTGGCGGCAGATTAGCTCCCAATCTTCTCTCAAACGGCAATCTGATGTGGCTGAGATTCACGTCGGATGGAAGCTCATCCAGCGTGCGTGGGTTTTTACTAACTGCTGTGAGCGTCCCGTCAACAGGTATGCAGAGGATATGCATTCCGAAAATGGTACCTTAGTGCCCTCTTTTTTGCACAGCTTAAGAAAATCGCAAATATCGATACATAATTATTTGGAGAATATAGTTCATCAGCTTTTCAACAACGAAATAATATTTTCAATCGAGTAATATAATATTTATTAAGTTATGGTCAAATGAAAACAAGTGCCGCTTTTTCATTTTGTCTCCGGCGACTGATATTTAACTGCCGCAATAAGAACATGGGCCGAAACTTGCAACTGTGAAAGAGGCCACAAAGAGGCCACCAAGAGGGCAGAGCAAAACGAAAAACATCGAAAGTTAACCAAACAGTCCTTTTCTTCCGAAAGGAGAAATGACCATCATTGCAAAAAAATTAACATTAACAATAACAAAACCGTGGACGAAATAAAAATGTGCACATTTTTATAATTGGCCGTAAATCAATACATATTTTAATAAGCGATTGGAAAGATTAGTTCTTTGTTTTAAAAGTTAATGAACTATACTCTCCAAATATAATTGTATCGATATTTGCCTTGTTAAAAAAAAAAACCCTGTGGTAAAGAGGGCGCTTTGATGGTTCGGGTTTCTTGGAGGGGGGGGGGGGGGGGGACACCCTATACTGCGTCTTGCACGGGCCAAGCAACACAACAAGGAAAGCTATGAACAACTCGCAAAAGTCCTGTCTCAAGAGTATCTGGTTTATTCCACACTCCTGCATCCCACCATGTGCCAGAACGCAATATTATTCAGACTCTTTGCAAGCGGGAACGGGTCCAAATTCCGCCAACAGGGGTACATCATGGATACAGACACTGCATCCATGCACAGCGCCCACTGTTGTGTTGGCGGAGGCGAGTCGATGTGACATCGCCCCCTAGTCCGAAGACATTTGTTCCAAATCTTCATTTTCATCTTCATTTCAGTACATGGCAACATGCCAAACTTGGCCCATGACGCCATGGGGTGCAGAGTGTGTTCAGTTTTGTCCAGGTAGGATGGCCACCTTGAACAACTCAAGGGACTTTAGGGAGGTGATGGACTGGGGGAGTTGATTCCAATCAACTACGGTCCGGGGGAAGAGAGAGTTTTGGTACTTGGGTAGTTCTGGTCTCAAGCCGCTGGTTCGCATCCTGGTTGAAGTGGCGACTGGAGTGGTCAGCTGTTCTTTTGTTATTAGCTGGATGGTGACAGGAAAACTTCCGGTGTGGATTTGATGAAAGTGGGTAAGTCTGGTGCTTTCCCGCCTATCTGCTAAGGGATCCCAGTAACTGCAGCAGCGTATTCAAGATGAGGTCTGACTAATGCCAAGTACGCTTTAAACTTTGTTTCTCTGCTACATTGATGAATGTTTCTTTGAAGTAAACCGAGGACCTTATTGGCTTTATTTGTAATGTGACGATAGTTGGCTTCCCAAGTAAGATTATCAGAAATGACGACTCCCAGGTATTGATGATCCTGAACTCTGGTCAAGGTTTCACCCATCATAGAGTAATCAAACTGGACTTTCTTCTTCTTGAGACTCACAGTCATGGTGTTGCACTTTTTGGGATTCAAGGACATCTGCCATTTTGCAGCCCAGCCACACACCCTGTCTTGATCAAGGTCTTTCTGAAGCTTGATGCATGCATCCTGGTTGCTGATGACATTGTACAGGATTGCGTCGTCTAAAAGGCGGATGTTTGACAGGTTATCTACAATATAGTTGATATATACAAGAAACAACAAGTTATTATTCCTCCATGAACAGACCAAGCACTGTACCTTGAGGCACTCCAGATTCAACCTTCTGCCACTGAGGAGCTTCTGATTTATAAACAACTCATTGTTGTCTCTGGGTTAGAAAAGTGCTGATCCAGTCATGGGCGTCGCGAGGGGGGGCAAGGGGGGGCACTTCCCCCCCCCCCCCGAAAAGCAAAAAAAAAAAAAAAAAAAGAAGAAGAAAAAGAAAAGAAAAAAAGAAAAGAAAAAGAGGCGCAAAGACAAAGTGGTGTAAATTTAATGAGTTGGGGGGGGGGGGGGGGGCAAAATGTCCCTGCCCCCCTCTAAAACTGATAAATCGAGAATGTGTTGAGAAATACAAGCATTTTTTGGCAAAAATTTTTTTGCCCCCCTCTAGAAAAAATCCTGGCGACGCCCATGGATCCAGTTGAGGATGTTGCCTCTAATACCATACAAGTGGAGCTTCGATTTTAGTCGATCATGAGGAACGCAGTCAAACGCTTTTGTGAAATCAAGTATGGCTGCATCAATCTGCTGGGCTTTATCAATTCCTTCCATCCAATCGTTGACTACAACAAAGACTAGTCGGGTCTCAGCTCGAAATTTTACGATGTTACGACGCGTTCAACACATCGCAACTTTCGTGAAATGGATGATATGCCGGTTCGCGAATTGCGACGTGTTACACGTCGTAACTCGCCCTTACAGAAATGTCCCATGTAATTCCCATGGGAAATTTTCCCATGGGACCCCATGGGAATTGCATGGTGAATTGGACACCATGTAGCATGGGATTTTTCCCATTGGCTTTTTCCCATGAGAAATTTTTTGTATGGGTTTTTTCCCATGTATGGTTTCCTTTCATTTCTCAAAAAAATTATTGCTCCATGGTATTTTTCAATAACAACTTCCTATACATTTTAACCCTGTGTGTTAAGTGCTATTCACCAAATAGGTAAAGCACATCACAGAATTCCGATGGAAGTTGTTCCACGTAATAGGAGTGGCTTGTGCACTTAATGACTAATGTGACATTATTGCTCCCATACTACTTGTCAAGTTGTACCATATTATCACAGTGTTCCCAATTTATTTTCTCATAAATGTTTCCAACCATAATAAAAAATGAATCAATATTATCCAAAGTTTGAATGACACATTGTCCACATAAAAAAATACTGTATGCATCATTTAACTTCACTTATCAACAGAAAAATTCAAAAATGTGCAATTACAACACTCGTTATTGTAAGAGATTCTCACAAAAATGTCCCATGGTGGTCCCATGGTGTCCCATGGTGGTCCCATGGTGTTCCCATGGTGTCCCATGGTGTTTATCCCATTGTGTTCAATTGGTGAACATCCACAGGAGTTTCCCATGGTCAGCTTAACAAATAGAATTCTTGATAACCTCTATGACCACAAGGGAAATATTTTTAATTGAATTCAAATTTACAGCTAGGCGAATAAGTAATTAAATCAAAGAAAGGTTTGCCTATAACTTGGGAGTGCAATTGGGTCTATGATGGTTTTTCATGGCACATGCATGTTCTCCAGTATAACCCGGCAGTGTCCCCGTGCTGCCTTTTAAATCTCCATGGTGTTCCCATTGTATCCATAATTTATATCACCCACATTATGGTGTTCCCATGGCGTCCGAATCCTCATGGTGTACCCATGTGTCTAAAATCCCCATATCCTCATGGTGTACCCATGTGTCTAAAATCCCCATGATGTTCCCATGGTGTCCAGTAAATCCCCATGGTGTTCCCATGGTGACATACAATCCCAATGGTGTTCCCATGGTGTCCATAAAATCCCCATGGTGTTCCCATGGTGTCCATAAAATCGCCATGGGGTTCCCATGGTGTTCCCATGGTGTCAGTTAATTCCCATGATGTTCCCATGGTGTCCAGTAAATCCCAATTGTGTTCCCATGGTGACATACAATCCCAATGGTGTTCCCATGGTGTCCGTAAAATCCCCATGGTGTTCCCATGGAGCTCATAAAATCCCCATGGTGTTCCCATGGAGCTCGTAAAATCCCCATGGTGTTCCCATGTTGTCCATACAATCTCCATGGTGTTCCCATGGGTTTCCAATGATGATCATTTTAACTTACATGGTGTTCTTGATGACCCCATGGGTTCCCCATGGGGTCCCATGGGAATCCCATGGGACCCCATGGGAATCCCATGGGATGCTCATGGGACATTTCTGTAAGGGCGAGTTGCGTCGCGTCGCAGCGCTTCGTGAAATCGGGTGCCGGCCACATACACAATGAGCAGTTCTCCAGCGCAATGTCGCCTGTGCAGACTGAGAGAAAAAGAGACTCCGCATGACCTGTTACAGTGGAGGCCCCTCACAGGTGGTCCGTTGGTGCCTCCACCTATTGGCTCTCCTATATGGTTGCTCTATCTGGCTTGTCTGCGTCTAGGGCAGGTTTTCCTTGTGAGAGATGAACTGCTCGTTTTCTACCATGTATTACTGAAGGTGCTCTCTCAATATCGTTGGGGCGGTTTCCTTGAACTGCACTGATGACATTTTGCGGCCTTTTAGCCTGGCTATTTTCTTGGCAGTCCCCACATGGCCCAAACTTCTGTTGTCGAGCACTACCATTACCCGCGAAACCACTGTATCTTCCAAGTGACTAGTGAGTGCTTCCTATCCAGGATTTTTCCCACCTAAATGTTACGGTCCAAGGGTGTGCAACTTCGTCCACCAGAGTTTCCATTGTTGAAACGTCCCACCATTGCAGCTAGGTTGAGGTATTGATCATTAAAACAGTGTGTTTTTACATAGGTCGGGGTCCTTGCTTGAGCCTGTATCATTCCATGCCTCTTTTATACCGTTGACGCCAGCGGGTACGTTTGTTGCAGACTGGTACCTCCTCCGTCTGCGTGGCTCGGTGGAGTATTCACGTACAGCACCACTGACCAGGCCAGGTCCTGTGCGCTGAACTACCTGGCACCACTCAGAGCATCTTATTTGCCCTTTTCCCCAAGTTTTGGGTAAGCGTCCTTTATGGTCACATCATTCACCTTCTTGTAGTCCACACTGAACCTCAGTCCCATCTTTTTCCTCGATCACTCCCTCACACAGAATCTGCTGCACTTGTTTTCCCCCACCTGCCTTCGCTTATGAATGAGCAACCGTCTGGTGAGCTGTCGGACTGGTGTGGCATCTCCCGTGTGAATCTTATGTTTACTAAATTTGTTCTGCCGAGACGGCCATCTGCTCCCTTAAACAGACTCTGAAATTAACTCAATACTTCCGCTAGCCTCCCGGTTCTGCAGCGTATAGGTGGTGGCTCCCTCTGTCGAGGAGATATTGTAGGAGAGGATCGATGAGGGACCTGCATCCCGTCCCTATTGTGTTTTGTAGTGGAAACGCTTGGGTAATGTGCCCTATGATACATCCTTGGCTGTCAACATCCCATTGTAGATCGTTACAGAGTCAGATGTTGGGTTTAGCACTTGAACCGGTATGACTTCCGTAGTTGCTCTCACTAGGCTGGTGGCCACTGCCAAGTGGGGGAACACCACCCGATCTCCGTTTCTTGTTTGTTTAGGCAGCGGTCGTTTTTTTTACCCAGCTGGCACGACTGTGTTCTCGGCTGCGTATACACTCAACTTGGATGCTGTGTTTTCTTCAAACGACAAGGATATCTCGATCCTGTCCGATTTTCATGATAGTGTTGTCACCCCATCTCCACTAGCTGTTGTATACTGCAGAGACTGTATGCAGCTTGGGATGGCCTCGCATCACTGTGTGGTGTATTGTGGAGCTTTTCTGCAGCTCAGAGGGTAGGAGCTCTGCACTATTGACTGGTACACTGCGGAGTCCGTCTACAGTTTGGAGTGGCTCCACAACACAATATTGTGCATAGTTTGGGAAGGGCTCCACGGTATTTTGCTCACGGTACTGTGTAAGGGTCTCGAAGTCCTCTCAGATGTAAGAATGATTTGTATTGCGGGTCCTAGCTCTCAGTGACGTATTGGAAAGATTATAGTGAAAGTCATGGAATCCCCTTGTTAGGTTGTTACAACTGATATAAAAGTATCTTGTAATTTTCATCCTTTTCAGAAACTTTGACGTGTTTGCCGGGTGATTTTGATTGTGGGCATTCTGTCTGCATCGACGGCGCCTGGCAGTGTGACTATACAACTGACTGTCGTGGAAGTGTTGATCAAAGCAATTGTGGTAAGTATTTGTAGTGTTATTCAGGATGTCTTTATGAAGGTACATTGTTGAATCCTAGGAAGTTGGTGCATTTTGAAAAGTGCAAAAGTTATGTCATCATTTTATTATATTTAAGCTGCAATTTTATATAGGCCATACTACTAATGAAATAATAATATTATTATGTAAATTTTTGTTTGTTTCACTGTCTTTATAATTGTAACTGTGTACAGGTGATGTTTTTGTGTGTAAATTTCGTATGTATTTTTAATGTTTTTAGGCACGCAAAATCACGGAGCATTTTCACTGAATATTTAAATTAAATCAATCAATCAATCTATCAAGTGCAACAACTGTTGTGAACTGTCATTGTGTACTATTTTGGAGTGACATAATGTTTGCGTTCGCGTAATATTTTTGGTAGCTTCACAAAACGCGTTATTTTTCATTGATCTGTAAACAAATCTTAATAGGTCATTGGCCACTGCGTGCTATAAGCTACGTGGTGGTTCCGAATCTTTCAATTTGAATATTGTACGGGAACCACACTGTAAACAAAACCCCTAAAACACTTTCCATTTCCCGTAATTTCTACGGTTTATTACCGTTATTGCTCGAACCGTCCCATGAAAGAACGTGCTACGTGAATTTCCCGTAAAACTTGGTGCCCTGATGCCGCATGCTGGGATTCATAATGCTTTTGTATTCATAACCCTTCAAAACCCCTCTCCTTTTTCAAACCCCCACAACCGCCTTATTTAAAACTGTGATTCGTATACACACCTAGTGCACGCACTCAAGGTTCGCTACGTGTTTAGTAAAAAGCTTATCATTGTGTTGTCAAAGCCGTTATGCTTTGATAGGGTGCAATGCCGATGTTCCCCAATATCGATGTTCCCCGAAATCCCTACCCTATAACCCTAACCCTAACCCTAGCCCTAACCCTGATCCTAAGGATTTCGGGGAACATCAGTAGTGTGGAACATCGGGTAGACCCCGCTTTGATATTGCAAAATATTTGGAGAGCCATGCAGCTAATCCTGCGGTGTTGACCAGCAATAGGTCGACCCCTTTTGGCGGGATCACTAAAAAGTTGTAAATGAAAAATACAATTTACAGATGCAAGTTATGTTGCAACTTAGAGATAATTTCCCCTTTTAAAATGATAAGAAAACCACTAAATAAAAAAAGACAAGCTGTACAACGTTTGCGTACCCCACTCCCAGCTGCCATGCCGTAATTGGAACATATCCCCCTCTCCCTGCACCCAGCCCCGACGCCACCCACTTTGTATTCCATGGCTTTACATCAAAATACTGTTAAATTTACGGGAAATTCGTGTTGAAATTACGGTTACCGTGATACCGTCATTTTAGGAAACCCGTAACTGACCGTAATTTTGCCGTTTTTCGTTGGCAACCCGTTTGACAGTGCTTTTACCGTAAAATTACGGGCAAATTTGAGTAACACTTGACACAAATCAATCAACACAAGGTTTTCTTACACTTTGAGAATACAGCTCACCTCCATATTCAACAGTGCTGTTGATCATAATTTATGAGACTAAATAAGTGTTCGTATTCACTGTATTCTAAATTATCTCGCTGGTTATAAACCAAACAAACCGAACAAATAAGTGTTCATGATTGTTAAACACAATATCGAAAAGTGCACCGCAAGCACAAGACTGCAGTGATATATCTGATAAAATCTTTTCCTTCAAAGCTTCCCCAAACCATTTGTTTTCCACAGCCCGGGATCGCTTTGTTTACATCAAGGAAACTGCATCAGCACGACTGGTTTCTCCGAATTATCCTAGCTCTTATCCAGACAACAGAGACAGAACATGGATCATCCAAGCAGAGGAAGGTCGGAAGATTCGTATCAGTTTCTCTAGTTTTGACACGGAGTATCGGCACGATTATGTCCAGGCTGGTGATGGCAACGTAAGTGCAGTCAACATGTTCTTTGAATGGAGCTGGACGAGGCCACCCCCTGATCTGGTGTCTAGTGGAAACTCCATGTGGTTGAAATTCCGGTCAGATGGAAGCTACAGACGACGTGGATTCTTGCTATCGGCTCTCAGCGTTCCTGTCACTGGTACGTATGCAGACATAGTCCTGAGTTCCCTGGTCTTATTACCGTTTAGGTCAAGATACCTTATTAAGACTGTGTGAAGTAAAATGTCAGATATTGGTTAAAGTATACTTTGAATCTTGGACAAGGCTTGCATTGGATAATATATCTTCCCTTTCGTGCAAGAGTGGGAAGATATATTATCCAATGCATTCCATGCTTGTCCAAGATTCAAAGTATACTTTAACCAATATCCTGTAATAATCTATTTTGTTTATTTTCTACAGAAACACTGAACTGTTCTCCTTTTGAGTTTGACTGCGGACATTCAGTCTGTATAAGTGGGGCCTGGCAGTGCGACTCCATACTTGACTGCTTTGACGGAGGGGACGAACGTAATTGTGGTAATTTGAAAATCATCCTCTCTGCCACCGCCTCGCCGCCGCTGCTGCTTAAGGCAGTCCATGCATTGTAATTTTTGCGAAGAACATTATGGGCTGGTCCAGGTTTCCTGTTGAAGCGAGTGCCGATTAGAGGGTGAGGGGAAGTTTGCAATATGAATGATAAGAATGGTGTGGAAAGAGCTTTACTTTGTGCACAGGGGGAAAATAGACGAGAGAGTAAAGATGACGACGGCTGAAATATTCTGTATTACCAAGTTTGTATCTCAAGAAAAATCGAATGTTTTGAAATATCTGAAGAAAAAACATAGGTTGAAACTGTGGGGATAGACCACGCATCTTCCATCTATTGTTGCCAAAGTCTATCTTCCATCTTCCCATCTTCGTATCTTCCATCTATTGTTGCCTTGGCTGAGAATTCCACCACCGTCCATGTATACCCCATTTTCTATACTACATTTCCTCATCGATTTTTCATTATGCCGATTTTTAATAGGAGAAGACGATGATATTTACCTCCGTTCTAACGAGACAGCCGAAATCATCCTACCAACCTATCCCAGCAACTACCCCAAAAACATTGATCGTACGTGGCTGATCGAAACGGAAGAAAATCGACGAATTACCGTCACTTTCCCGGACTATGTGACGGTTTCTGGAGAATACGTATTCAGGGCTGGTGACGGTAATGGTACTGCAAACACCGAAAGTGTCTTCTTGGAGTGGACCAGGTATTCCACACCTCCGCCCCTTCTCTCAGCTGGGAGTGCGATGTGGCTGAGGTTCGAGCCAGCTGGCAAAGGAACACTAGTATTTGCATTCCCTCTTTTGATTAAAAGTGTCCCATTTTCAGGTACGTTACAATCTTGTTTACAGTTTTTCTGTAATATCTTGCAAATAAATCCAGTTCTTGAATAGTATCGAGGTAGCTGCTTCAGGAGCAATGTAATGGACTGTCTACAGCTTTTCTCCACTGATTCTGCCGCATTCACAACAGTTCAACAACCACTTATTAATTTGAAATTGAAGAATTTAGTCAGCTTTGATTTGCATTTGGTTTTGCGTTCTTTACACGCCAAAGAATGCGCCCTCTTTTGATTAGGAGGATAAAATAAAACAGACTTTCAAAGGTGGTTATTCTGCCAATTGAATTATCTAGTATAATACATGTATCTTTTTTCCCCAGCTACTCTAACGTGTTCTCTGGGTGAGTTTGACTGTGGCCATTCTGTCTGCATCAGTGGGGCCTGGCAGTGTGACACTCTGTCAGACTGTTTGGATGGAAGGGATGAACTCCATTGTGGTAATTCTGAAATTCTGAAACAATTGTTTACTGAAACGATAATCCTTACAGAAACGATAACCTTACAGAAATGATCATCCTTACTGAAATTATGTTCCTCTGTTGCTAGTTGTGTGCTTGCAAACTATTTTCAACAAATATTTGTTGAAATGGCATGTTTTCAAAAGGTTAAAAAATCATCAACAAATCCTTCAATCAAAATTCATCATTTCAATAACGTCATTCCCATTGCAAGTAAACTTATTTAAATAGAAATATGCAAAATAGTTTGGTACACATGTCAGTCCAGTGTTACTTTCACTAGTGTTCACTGTTCAAGCGCCTATCCCGACAGTTTCCTTTTTTTGGCATCGCATTGAGGATTTAGCACTTCCCAGGAAATAGTCCCAGTAAGTCTCTGGTTGAATTTTTTTTTGAAAAGCACTGGGATTTTGGCACACCCTCCAATCCTTTGAATTTGAGTTAGTGACATAATTTGTATTGTTGTGTTTATCCCCAAAGTTTTAATTGTTAATGAAAATAATTTTTTTAAACCAAGCGGAATCCCAATCCACTCAAACTACTTCCTGTTACATTGTATGTTTTCAGGTTGCCAGTCACATATTGTTGGATTTTTTATTTTCAAAATACGTTGAAATGAGTATGTTACTCCTCAAACACTATTACCGTTTCTCATTTATTTTCGTTCCGTCCATATACAGATGAACCCCGATTTATATTCATCCGTGAAAATGAAACCACCCAGCTGGTCTCACCTGGTTACCCTGGCAACTATCCCACTAACGTTGACATTGTGTGGATCCTTCAAACGGAAGAAGACCGCAAGATATACATTACTTTTCAACGTTTTGAAACGCAAATTCACAGAGACTTTTTGCGTGCGGGTGATGGTAACATGACAACTAACGCGTTCTTCGAGTGGGATAGTTATTACAATATACCTCCCGATCTCCTGTCCAATGGAAACACCATGTGGTTGAGATTTACATCGGGCAGTTATTACTATGCAAGACGTGGATTTTCTCTAACGGCTACCAGTGTACCATCTAGAGGTAAAAATAGACGAGATGTTGTTTACAACATCTCTATGCAACAGATGTACAGAGTGGTCCAAAAAGTGTACACTTCAGAGGCAGATTTCTCAAAACTGGATAGACATATTGAAATTGTTTTAAGACATTCCTGAACTATACAAGATCTTGGTGGTATATGCCGAAAATGGTGTTGAAAATAAGGCTCAAGTTAGGAAATAGCGGTCATTTACACAGAGAAATTGTCAAAAATTAGTTTTGTCCACACATAAGTAATGCATGTTTTTGTGTGTTTTTTGTGCACCCAATGTTGGTGTGTTGACCATTATCTCAAAGACCGGTGGACAAACTGGTCTATCTCCGACTTTTTTTCTTTATTCCATCTCAATTTTCTGATTTAGGCTTTATTTTCAGTGCTGTTCTCACCATATACCACAGAGACGCTGTAGTTTTAGGAATAACTAGTCACTGCAATTCAGAAAATTCTGCGTTTGAAAAAGTGTAAACTTTGTTTAGGCCAATTTTTAATTAGTTAAAATCACAAAGCAGTCACCCGCTCTTGCTCTGTGGTGTTCAACCTGTTTATTTTAAAATGTCTACGCATGGAACAAGGAAATTCTGTGCACGAAACTCTGATATAAAATGTGTTGTTCTGATCGCCTTGGTAATAAACCATTTATCTTCTCGGGTACATAATAACCTCAGAGTTTATTTCGCACATCCGCAATCGGCCAAAAATATTCCATAAAAGGCCACGCCCTTACCATTTTTTTGGCCCTTTATTTGAGTAAAGAAGTATGTAAAGTGTTAGAAATTGAAATCTGACAAGAAAATTCATTGACATTTTCTTATAATAATTGATTGCTTGTTTCTAAGATACTTTGAAGTGTTCTCCTGGAGAGTTAGACTGTGGCCATTCTGTCTGTATAAGGAGTGCCTGGCAGTGTGACGGGTATACCGATTGTCTAAACAGAATAGATGAACAAAACTGTGGTAAGGTTTACTTGCAGTCCGCTAGCGATATACTTTCGTAAAACTTAAAAAATGAAAGAGCAAAAATTTGGAATTCATGGTTTTTGTTTGTTAAAGTTTGGTCTCAACCTTCGAACCAATAGAGATCTGCTAAACAAATATAGAGTTCACTTAAAAAACGTAAAATGAGTTGTCGTTTTTCATTTGTTTTAAAAAGATGCCGACCGTGCAGTTTACATCGGGGAAACTGAAACGGCCCTGCTAGCCTCGGCGCGTTTTCCAACTTACTACTATCTCAGTAACAGAGACACAACTTGGATCATCCAAACAGAAGAAGATCGAAGGATTCGTTTGAGTTTCAACTCCTTATTCCGGACGGAGTACCGGTACGACGTCGTCCGTGCTGGTGATGGCAACAGTACTTCAAACAACATCTTCTTTGAGTGGAGCTGGGTAAAGGTCCCACCTGATATCATCTCCAATGGGAACACGATGTGGCTTACCTTTGTGACTGATGGAAGTACTACATTTACTGGGTTTTCCTTACATGCTGTCAGCGTTCCATCAAATGGTAAGCTTCATTCGGTCTTGTATTTCATGTAAGGGTCAGTTTGTGCTTCATGCTAAGGCGAAAGCATGGAGAATTTATGACGTCAAATCTGCACGGAGTTTGTACATTTGGTAATGAAAGCGGTAAATCTTTTTTCTTACAGTCAGTAAGAAAACATTAGATACCTTTTTTGAATTAAAAATGGTGTAACAACGTATATGGGCGTCGGGGGGTTGGGGGGGGGTGCTTGCCCCCCCCCCCCCCCCGGAAAGCGGAAAAAAAGAGGGGGGGGGGAGGTGTGAAGCCATATTGCTGTTAATTTGATGGGGGATAGGGCAAATGCTCCCCTGCTCACGCTTGGAAAAATGATAAATTGAGAATATAATGAAAAAGTTAAGGAATTTTTGGGAAACATTGCTTTGCCCCCCCCCCCCTCCCCCTGGAAAAATTCCAGGCGACGCACATGGCAACGTAGCTTTTGATACATGCTGCTAAGACGGTCAGTGTTCGTACAGTCTCTATTTTTGGTTTTTCAGAGGGTTGAGAGGGGTATGTTGTCCTCTCCAATCGTATTTTGTACACTATTCAGCTGATTATGCCCCTTTTTTGATGAGGGAATGGTTGGCCAGTACTTTATAATATTACATCCGCAAGCCGCGGCAATCCCAGAAATGCACTTACACATTCAGACACAATATTTTGCATAACTCATTTGAATTGAACTATATTCAAATTGTAAATATGAAAATGAATAAATTTACAGCAAACGTCTTTCAAATTGTCACATATATTCTTTGAGTAATTACAAGGTCGATGCCATTGGTACCATTGGTTAAGAGGAAATGAAGTTATATGTTGGACAACTTAAATAAAGTCAGTTTGAACGTTTATATTTTAAAAAAGGTGATTCATTTATCTTTGAACCGTTTGTTTCTGTATTATTGTAAAGTGAGACTTTACAAAAAAATTATAGCTTTTGGCAGGTGTTAACAACATTGTTTGCTTTTCGCTTTAAGTGGAACTGAATCCACCTTGCCTTCGCTAGGTTTGAATGTTCTTTAAAAAAAACAGTGCAAATACGTTTGGGGATAATTCGTAAAGAAAGTAATTGTTTGTTCATCATGTCACACTTTGGTACAGAAGATTTTTGATAAAACTCAATGAATTGTTGTCGGGGACTTTTTAATCACTAACCATGCTGACTTTTTCACAAATCTCATTTAAAACTTTGTTGCAGAAACTTTAACATGCCTTCCAGATGAGTTTGATTGTGGACATTCTGTTTGCATCAGGGGTGATTGGCGGTGTGACTATGTGGCGGATTGTCTCGACGGGAGTGATGAACTCAATTGTGGTAAACGTTAATTTTGCTGATTAGTAGCTTGATGTTGGGTACCAAGAAGTTTGGTAACTATTGCTACAGTTCAGTATTTGATAGTTGACCAACAATGAGCTAATAATCAAGTTCATCGAGTTTCTATTGTTTAGGTACATTTTAACAGACTTAAGGACGCATGTCCCCCAACAATTCCCGTTTCTACTCCAGTGCCCATAAAAAAAACCCTGAAGTTGCCCACTCCTCCAAGAAGTTTCTTTTTTTTTAAATTAATGAAATATGAAGACTGAGTGTAAACCACTTGTAAGTCGGTACTGCTTCCCTCCTCTCTCGATTTGTGAAATATTAATAAAATGGATATAAAAAAATGGGGAAAAAGAGCGCCGCATAGCGTCAAATGTGGTGCAGCCCCCCTCAATTTGTGAATTTGCAGCTGTAGGCTGGACAAAATAGGGGGAAATGGATCCGTACTTGGTGCGCTAACAAACAGCTGCTGATATTGGGGCCTGTTCCTATTAAAAATCGTGACTACGCCACTGCTGTACCTTGTTTTCGAATAACCAGCTCCAAGAAAAACCTCCCTTTAATGTGTTTTTCTTTATTTTCTTCCGCTCACATGTTTTGTGTGTCCCTCTAGGAAAGATCAACATCAGTGACACTGAAAGTGTATTGATATCATCTCCACGTCTAAGTTATACGCCAAGAAATTTCTACATGACCTTGGTAATTACAACCAAGAAGGACCAGAATATAATCATCACCTTCACCTCTTTTCAAACTGTGTTGGAGGATGGAAGATTTCGGGCTGGGGATGGTTCGGATAATACAAATGAAACAGGCATATTTTTCAGTTGGAGTGGAAATAGACCTCCTCCAGATCTTCTCTCCGATGGAAATACAATGTGGCTGAGCTTCGAAACAGGAAAAAGATCTATCTCGCAATACTTTCAATTACGGGCGAACACTGTATCACCAAATGGTAAGAACATTTTATTTATCGTGTCAATTCGATTTAAGTATTTGTTTCCCGCTAAGTAAGATAGGCATTGTACTCAATCCTTAAATTAATTTAACTTGGGTCTGAAATCGTAGCGTTCCAATGTTTTGGGACCGGGGAGCAAAATCGACTAGAAGAGGAGTTGAAAGGAGGAAAACAAGAACAGTAAAGTTAAGGAAAGAAGACTTTCTGTTCACTAGTGAGTAAAATTTGGCACTTTTGTGTTATTTGAAAAATTCATCAATACATGTGGTTATAATATCCAACTTTCTTTTTCAAACCCTGTGTTTTATCAACTGATTTTCAGTTCTTTTCTATTGATCTTAGAAAGCATAACCTGTTCTTCCAGCGAGTTTCATTGTGGGCATTCTGTTTGCATCAGTGCCAGCTGGTTATGTGACGGCGTGTCTGACTGCGTCGATGGAGTCGACGAACGCACCTGTGGTAACTATATGCTTTTTATAGTAATCGTTTATTTTATCACTGTCTTTATCTTTCATCTGTCACGTAACAATGAGGAAAATATATAATCTCCAACCTAACGGGAATATTCCTCTTTTCAGAAACCTGTGTGGGTCGTTGTTTTCTGGATGGTCCTCGACGAGGTGAATGTTGGTGCGACGATTCGTGCATCGACTTTGACGACTGTTGCCCAGATTTCCTATCTATTTGCAAAGGCATCGGCAACATGGACTCGAGCACCGTACAACCAGGTAATGAAATATAACGGTTAACTGTTAATTCCATCTAAAGTAATGCAACATCTCTGCAGATGCACTCATCTATTGAATAGTTTGAGTAATAAGGCATATAATGTCTTTTCCTAGTTGGTTGGGGAGGTTGGGGTGAGATTGCCTCAGCATAATTCAATGTGCTCTCTGTCCTCCCGTAAAACTGTGGTGCTGTTTTCTTTTTCACTACATAAGAGCAAATTTAGAGTTCTTTTTCTTTGTGATATCGATGTATATTATGCAGTTATTTCCTCGTAATAGGAAGGAATTTGTCCTCAACTATTGGTCATGAGAGTTTTTGTTCTGTTTTGATCGTTTCAGGGAATGTCGATGAGTGTGATCCTGATTCGCCGTCACTCAACTGTGATGTCAACGCCGTCTGCATTGACAATTCTATGAACTACATTTGCAGTTGTATTCATGGATATTCAGGGGATGGTATCTCATGCACAGGTAAAACTCAAATCGACCAGAGAGGAATGAACTGAACTGACCAATTAAAAACAAACAGCAGAATAGCACATGTGACTTAGGAAGCTGTGGTGGACATTGTGGCTACAAAAGAACTCATTCTAATGAACTCCTGCTCCGAACGCTTAGGTTTCTCATATTAAGTTTAAAGATTTTTCACAACTGTTTCTTCAGTTGTTATTTATAGATGATGAACTGAACTGAACCATTATGTCCTTAAAAGAAAATAATAATAACAACATAAATTAGTATGCTGTGGTGAACATTTTGTCTACTAAAGAACTCATTCCAGCAAAATGCTGGTGTAGCGTGAATATCCGACTCCATGAAATGTGGACTCATTTGTAGTATTGCGCACACGTGAGTACGATACTATGATATTTTTAGGATCGTTTCGGGAGAGTGACCTGTCACGTGCGAGGGATTAACCAATAATAGGGAAAAAGGGGTCCGATTTTCATAGGAGTCGGATTTTCATGTGACACCGGTTCACAACATGTAGGTTGTTTGTATTTGGTTTTTATCATTAAATCCGCCCCCCCCCCCTAAAAAAAAAATGGATTTTAAATATTTTCATTATTGTTTTTTTCAATTTGTTATATAGATGTAGAATCTCCTAACATATTGTGTCCAGCAAACCTGACCGTTTACACTGCCTGCAGTAAGACCTACTCCACAGCAACACTACCTGATGCTGATTTCATCTCTGACAATTCCGGAGTAGTCTCTGTGACTATTCATGTCGACGATTCTACGTTTGAGGTTGACGATGCTGTCACCTTGTTTTTAGCGGATTCTCCTTACTTAGTGCGCTATAACGCCACCGACGAGTCGTCTAATTCTGCGGAATGTGAAACTTACATCATGGTAGCCAATGTCACAGGTAGGCTAGTTGGAGTTTTTAGTAGATTATTGTAGTGACAAACAGGGGCGTGCACTGGGATCGATCAGCATGTGCATGAACCAATGGGAGGAAGACGATCCCTGTATCCATAGATAAACGGACTGCAGGCTGATTTCCAGACTGTCTATTATTATCCTCTTGTGATGCACACTTAAAGGGAAAATACAACATTTGCAATCATCAAAAAATAAAACTACCAAATCATTTTGAAATACCTTGCTGGACTGTTAGTGAATGACAGTGTAAAGCATCCTGTAAAATCATGGCACCTGGTATACTGTCATTTTCAAGAAAAGTGCTATTTTTGTATCAATTTCCAACGCTGATTGGCCGATCAGCATTGGAAAAAAATGGCTTTTGTTTCAAATACTGGCCCCAATTGACCATCGCACTTGTTTGCAATCGATTACACACCTATGAACGGGTACAAGCCAGCTAGACTGGTTCCCTGACCTTACAATTCCCCAATGTATGTGAACTGCTCTGTTTCTTCTTATATGGAGTCAGGGAACCAGACTACAGGAAAATGATTGTTTTTCTTGGTTTTTATAGCATTTTCGAACCCAAAACCTCAAAAAAGTCAGTGTAACTATATTTGCTAAATATTTCCAACCCCCCAATTCCATCCATTTCTGAAAATTACAGCAAAAGCAAATGATGTATATTCCCTTTAAGCTATTTTAATTTTTTTTTAAAAGTTGGTAAGATCAAACTATTTCATTAGAGTCATATAACGTAGAACATGTCACCCGTAGGATGTGCATATGGCCTAGATACAGCAGTAAACCAGAAACGTATCGTTAATAACAAATTTGAAATTTGAACTTAAACTTCGTCGATCCGTTTTAAAATAGATGCAGCATTTTGTGAATCAACGGGCAACCCTCCAAACTGCATCTGTCTTCCCGACCAGGCACCAGATTGCACTTGCTCATCTGGATACTGTGGACACGATTGTTCTCGTAGGTGGACCTTTAACTTTCACCATGAACATAATAAAAGATGGAAGAATAAATGAATAAGGCCTTAATCCATTGTGCATTGATATCTTTCAAGTTCTTCAAGATGATGCTTTTATTCAAATTTTAACACAGACCATTAAGAGAGAACCATTTCAGGTCTGAAATTGTCATACTTTTTTGTCTTCCCATTCATCGTGATATTGCAAGAGCATTGAGAATAAGTATTTCTTTCAAACAATCTTGCCACAGAGTCCTCGGAGGGAGTTGAGTGCACCGGTCCGGCTATGCCATATCCAAACTGCACAGACATTGATGAATGCGATCCAGGCCACTCCGGTCCACGCTGTGATGCTGGTAGGTTTATTGGTGTACAAGAAAAAAAATCATATTTGATTTAAGGAGTTAGGAGAACTTGACACATTATGCAAATTAAACATTTGCTGATTTGTATGTTGATTTACCCCAACAGCTTTTGATTTCAGAGATGTTATTGTGTGTCGCATTTTCTTTAAGATGGCAGTGCACTTCAGTGTCCCGAGGTTGGTAACGAGTGTCTTGACGAAGGAGTCTCGTCGGTGTCCATAAGTTGGAGACTGTCTACAAGTTTAGATCCAGTCGGAGCGGACATCAGCTGCACAAACGTGGAAGATGGGACAAGTGTGAATACGACAGGTGGTGTGTTTGGAATTGGCACACACCTCGTCATCTGCTCCTCACTTAGCGGTGGCTCTGAAGATTGCTTGATTTCTTTCAGTGTTTCCGGTAAGCGATATTAAATTTTATTTTTAAAGTAAATTTTAAGGAAAATTTATATACATTTGCAAAAATTTGATCGTGGGACAGACAAGCTTCAATCAGTGAATGCTGAACTCTCCGCATTAATATATCTGCTGCTCAAAATGTTTCAAGTAGATATTTTAGCAGCAGCAGCTTCTTATTTTTGCAAAACTTGATATAAATATTTGTATTTCGACAAGAAACAACAACATTCGGATGATGTTGTTTTAAAAACTGCCTTATTTCCTTCCCACAGCATATCCGGATCTCACAGTACCAGCAGTCGGTGATCAGTGCACGGATCCAGGCGTGGACACAGCTACAGTGACATGGACCGAGGTTTATGCCATGGACGCTGGTGAAGTCACCATTGATTGCACAGATTCTGGTGATGGTGTTGGTGTCGGTCTTACAGGAGGCGTATTCGGAGTAGGACCGCATACCATCACCTGCCGTGCTGTCAATGCCGCAGGCTGTGAGACATCCAGGAGCATCACATTCAATATCATGAGTAAGTTTAATGCTATAAAGCAGTCCTTACACTGTGCGTTGTTGATTTTTTCTACAATTCGCTTTGTAAAACCATGCAGAAAAAAGACTTGGTTTCATTCCTCTTCCCAATTGTATTTGTCTGTGACTATAAATCCAGTAACTTTGTCAGGTTTGTTCTTTGCTGAGCCTGTTGACATGTGTACAGTTCATTGTTTAATGCTTTAACTCTGCATTCTATTAAAAGAGATATGCTAAGTATTAAAATGGTTCACAAACTTGTTACATTTCTACCACAAAGCAGAAAAGGGACGTTTGAACCAATAGCGTTGTTTGTGAATATATGGCAGAGAATATTGTTGAAGTTGTTGATTGCAGTGTACAATTTTTGTTTGTTTTTGTCAAAGAGGGGAATCTGATTCCATACGGCTCAGACGTTGGCGATCGACGACTGTCAGACGAACCTCAGCTGGTATGGTTTGGTTCAGGAATAAAAGACTAGTCAAGCTTTATCAATAACATGCATATAACAAAAGTAGGTAGGCCTAGCAAAGCTGGTGTTGGACCAATTTGGTTCAAAGGGTCTAGGTAGTCATTCTGAGTCATCTTTTTCGTTGGCCAAGGTGAGGCCTATGCTTGTGTACTTCACAAGTGACTGTCAGTCAGTGTGTCAGGTACAGAGAGGGTTATAGGCTGGTCCCTCTCACACCAGCAAAACTTTACATATTATTTTATTATTAAATGATTGTTTTAAAAAATCATATGACAATTAATTATAAGGTGTGTTTACAGTTTAGAAGGTGGAAAGCTTTGAAGCGATTTCATAGAAGAACTCCAGACATTACACCTTGCTTGGAATTAAGTTTGATCTTTGCTGGTCCTGGAGGGCCGGCCTGCAGTCTTCTTTGTTCCTGACTGACTGACTGACTGACTGACTCCCCGACTGTCACTTGGGAATCACACCAGTCTGGGAGCAGCATTAGGTGGCTTGCCTATTCATATCTGTGATATAGGATCTATACTACATGTATATACATGTAGTTCGGAGCTTCACGTTTCATGTCCTTTCATGATACGTGTGTTAGTCAAGTTTCCATGCTTCCAGCAAAAGAGGACATTTCAGTTCGATCATGTTTCATGAATCAATTGAATATATATTTGTGCGCTCTGCTTTACTAGGCTGGTATTGTCTTGTTAGTGTAGCCTCTAACACCTAGTAAATTCATTCCAATTACCAACTTTTTTTTATTCTTTGCATTTGTAATAATTCTTAATCTGTTTAATCTTGTTTAACCAACAGCTACGATTGCCTAAGAAGGACAAGATTTCACGAACCATTTATCCGCCCAATTTCTTTCCTTACTGCAACGGACTTTATGAGAAGATATATGTAAGTAACGTTCTTGGAGTTGTTGCTCAATATATTTATACGATCAGTCTGAATATTTCAGTGGTGTTTTCATTTTGTTAACATACCGTATCATCATGTGCTTTTTGGAAACAAAAAGACTAGAAAATGGAGTAATCACTCCATTTTTCAGTTCCTTGTCTTTCAAGTAATGACAGGTGCCCATTACTGTCATTGGAAGTGCTCATGCACCTGTTCTGGGAGCATTCATTGTTATGGGGACCATGAAAGTGATGTTCTCATAGAGTAAAATGGTGTGTTTTGTTACAGTAGCTCCCAAAAGTCTCAAAATACTAAACGAAGAACAAATTAGAGTAATAAGCAAAAGATTCAACGTAATGCAGCTAGCTGTTATAAAAGCAAATTAATGTAAGACATAGTTGAAGACATTATGCAGATAAAGAAACCCATCGGATATCCTGCATCGGATACCCGGCATTTACGGCCCAGTACAACAACAAACAATACAGCTGAAGGTTTAGGTTATCAAGGGTGCATTGCAGTAGACTCATGGACAATCCCAGAAATTAATCACTTCTGGCTGGCCTTTTAAAAAGAGTGTTTCTTTCTTTTGTATAAAAACCAAACTTGTTTTTGTGATCACTACAGAAATCCCGTTTTAAACTACTTACGTATGTTGTGAAATGAATTAAGTCAATTTTTTTGTATACACAGTTCACTGACAATGGTGTAATTGTTCTGTCCAACGAGCAACGTCTCGACAAATTCGCATTTCCGAGTTCCAGAGGCCGTTTCTTCAGAGGCACCGAGACTATGATTACTCCATTTTGGGCCGATGTCAGAGGCGATGCATTTACTGCTGCGAAAAATGTTTTCTGGCAGGTAAATGCTTTCTAATATTAATGTAAAAATACTCTAGTGTTTTATAAATTGTGTCTTCTGTCACATTGTGTCATCTTTGACGCAGCCACGCATTGGCATTCGATCGGACCGCAAAATTGAACAATTTCCTTGCTATACCAATCGCTTTAATCTTTTTGCGGCAGATTTACGACAAGTCTGACCTCGACACCAACCAAGAAATAATGGATATCATCCGAGCTAACGTGTCAGCAAGCGACTTTCAGGCGAACTGGGCACTTGTCATTACTTGGAGTAATGTCCTAGCACGACCAAACAAGCCGTTTTCATATGTAAGTGTTTGATTAGCTAAAAACTGATGACCCCAAATGGGAAAAAGAAGTCAAAAAGTCATGATAAAAAGCAGAGATGAAGAGCTGGTTGTGAATTACTCCAGAGTAAATAAGTCCTAGACTCAGTGTTGTAACGAGTCAGTGAAGTGATTCGGGTCGAATCGAATCACTAAAGTTTATGCCATCATTTCATAAACTTAGACTAGCAAATTCAGTATTGTCTTTTCTTTCAATATGCCGATCTGGCGTTTGGCCTTGCTTGTTCTTCCACCGTCATTGACTTAGTAACAGAAAAAAGTTCACTTAACGAATAAAGGGCCAAAATCGAAAAGTACTTTGTCCCTGAGTCAACCATGAGTGCCTAATAGTTGTCACAGAGTGGAGTCTTTTGCCAAGAAGCTCGTGTTGAGTCATTTAGTCGCAGTAAATCCAGTCCGGCACATCATCGAAAACCTCAACTCGAGTCATTGACTCAAGACATTTGAATGCTGTTGTTGGGCTACCATTTGGGTTTAAAAGGGCCACAATTTAACTGAATTCACTTGTTTCAATTGTTTCCTTTTCAGGAGACAAACACATTCCAAGCTGTGCTGGCGACGGATGGCATCCATAGCTTTGTGATATTCAATTACGATCCATGTGGGATGAACTGGGACTTCAGATTTCTGAATCCCAATGTCATCCTAGGTTTCACTTGTGGAGCCTCGGGTAAGCATGTCTACGTGGACGTACCGGAACACTCGCTGTACCGTCCCGGTGACATTGTCGGTAACACTGGGATGAGAGGACGCTGGATCTACCAACTTGACACCCTCCCAGATGACTTCGTCAATCCTCGTTTGTCCTGCCACAATTGGTACGACCGTCAGATACCTTATCCTGAGTTTGCTCTCTACTATCCTCCATTTGCCGATACCTGCCCGTGCAGTTTGGTAGCAGCAAATTTTGACTGGCGATTCACACAGGTTCCCTCCAAAAACCTGCCTCCGGCCTTGGGTTCAAGATTTCGTGAGTTATTTCATTATCTTCATTTACTATTCTACGTACAATGTCATGAGCAGTTATATCACACAAGCTTTGATTTTTGAAATATTATTCTATAGAGGCCTTTTTCAAAATGCTTTTCCTAACGTGAGAATTGCCATAGTTTTAAGATACAGTTGCTTTCTTTTATTTCATAAAATCTGGTCTTTCCTGAAATTTTCTGTATTTTGCCATTCTAACAAATTATCACTATATATAAATATGCTAATTTTATCAAGGTATGATGGCTTATTTGGGTTTTGAAGCTGAGAGGTACCAAACGTCAAAATGTTACCATTGTCGACCAATGTTAGCATTATTACAAATCCCAGCTCATGCACCTATATGTCACACTTTAGAGAGCTATCAATTGTTTGCTTGTACTTCCTGTGTGTCACGTGTACGTGACATCGATTGAGGAACATCACCTTGCAACATGATTTTCAAGAAAATCTCATCGAATGAGACATTGGACTCATTTCAGCTGCTGTTTGCTTCGTTCGACTGTTCCAATTTCCTGGGACGCCAGGCCCTCAGTGTTGCTACAACATATTCACCTGTGATCTCCTGTATTACGTCAGGAGTCCAAGAATTGCTTCTGTCTTTGAGCGGTACCCAGTCAGCCCTGTATACTACACGGAGAATTTGTACCAGCAATGGTTAGGTAAAATAACCAGGCTTATTACACTGTTTTCGCCAAATTTTGTCACTATTCCTGGGAATTGTGCACTGATAGAATTGTTTTTTTTTATCAACAGTTGTGTTGAAACTTTCGTGAGAAATTAGGCATCGAAGAATCTTTTGAACTTGGACAGTTCAATTTTAGGGAAAAGGAAAGAAGAGAAGGAGTTATTCAAGGTGGATTTCAATGTACACCTGTTATTGTAGACTTTATCTTTAAAGCTGATTCAGAGGGCAATGAGTTTCTACTGCCTAGATAGATATGAGTAACCAAAATGAGTAACACAATTAACATAAGAACATCCTCTGACATACCCAAAATGCATCAGTTCCACACTGAAAAATTGCCTGGGTTAATTTTACCCAATAAAGGGTGAAAACTGGAACTACCCAAACTTGGGTTGTTCTATAACCAATTGTTTGGGTTAGAATTTCTGCTAAAATTCAACCAAACACTTTGGTCATTCAAGACCAAATTTAATTTGGTCTTGTATGACTTTAACTTTTGGTTGAATTTAACATAAATTCTTACTCAGACAATTGGTTGTAGAACAACCCAAGTTTGGGTAGTTCCAGTTTTCACCCTTTATTGGGTAAAATTAACACAGGCAATTTTTCAGTGCATTGCGCTCCAAGAACAAATGACCCAAAGGTTAAGATTTGCCAAACACATCCACAACAAGGCTGGGAAGTCCATTGGTTTCTGTAGTGATTTCTTTTTCCTAGGTGGCAATTGTACTGATACGATGCAATCACCCTTTTTTCAATAAGAATGAGACTCACTGGAATATTTATGTTCTTTATTTTTCAGAGGAGGAGGTGCGGCCTCGATATTACTGCTGTCAACGATCAGCACTTTGCCATCTTTACATAGAATGGCGCCCTCTCATGACATGCTGGGCGTACGTTCCTCCTGCCTGGGGTAAGCCGATCTGTTTCCAAAACAAATTTTTAAAAAATCTGGCAATGCCGTTGCATAGGCAGGGAGGGGCTGTATACTTGGGAAGTTGTTACTTTAGGAACCGTGCACGTATTTTGAAGTATATTGTGCCTCTCCATACAAAAACAGATGTGTGTAGGGAAGACATAGGCCTAATATTTCATGATTTTTATAACTGGTGGTTGAAAGCCTCCAGTTTGGGCCTCTCTATACCAGATTGCCTTACTATCTACAGGACTTGAGAGAGCCACCTGTAGGGGTGTGTTCCAAAAAAACATTTAGTTGGTCACAAAGCGAATTGTCTCTGTCTAATTATTGTTTTGTTTTCTAGGCCAGCAATTATGATGCTGATTGTAGTATTTTTGGCTATCTTCTCATTCCTCCACCCCAAATTCTTTACCCATAACAACCAGTGTGGTTCTGGGGAGATCCCCATATCGTTACACTTGATGGACTGGAGTACACCTTCAATGGTCTGGGTGAATACACACTGGCACTCATCGAGGATGACGATGGACAACGAGTCTTTGAACTGCAAGGTCGCACACGACAGGCCGTGGATACAGAGACAGGGCAACTTAGCCAGGCCACTGTCTACTCTGGTTTCGCTGCGTTGTACACAGGAGAAGCAAGGGTCTGTAGATAGTTTTGTATTTAAACAGAAAGCATTTCCAAAAGTCCTTTGACTTCATTTCCATGATTCCTAAATGTTGGCATTCCATATATTTAGCAAGTCTGGGACATGCTTCTTTCTTGTCTCGGTGTGTACATGCAGTCTTTTAATTTTGGATCTGATTTAGAAACAGCGTTTAGCATATCAGACAACCCAGTGATAAAATATTTTGGTAAAATTCTGTTGAGATGAATAAATTTTATAAACTTCAACAATTTCCAAGTCTTGTTTGAAATGTGTACAGATTGAGATCAAGTTGAGTGATGATGCCATGGATTTGGTAACGACTGTCAATGGGACCGTTGTCACACCCACTGCTCAAGGTAAGACTGGCCTTTAATATCACCAAAGTGCAATAGGCTGGCCTAGGCAAGTTATATTTAACTGGAGATCCATTGGTAACCTGCTCGATCTGTCGTATGTATGTACCATTTAAACTCAGCAGTGGTGCCGTTTTCATACTCATTTCCCTAGAATTTATTTGAAGTTATTATTATTAAGTTCTGTGTTATTTTCTTGTAGGCTTGCTGTTTGAAACTCTTCAGGTAATGAGGGTGGAGAACCCAATCAAAGTCAGCGTCATGTATTCTGATCATGTCACCTTTACCGTCGGTGTGAACAACAGTATGGCCGACATCACCGTCCTTCTGAACCAGGACTTCAAAGGCAAAACGAAAGGAATTCTAGGTATGATTCTGGTACTGAACTACCACGATGGATTTTTTTCAGTCTTTTTTCGTACAATGTCACTTGGTTTTGGTAAATCTGAACTAGAAAATTATGACCACTGTAACCAACTTTAAGGCTAAGTCAATAATAAACCAGCCAACAATAATCATGTCAATAATAAACATGCAGACATAAGAGATGTGGTTATTATTTTAATGCCATTCTAAGGTACAAACCTTTCTGCTGAATTTCACCAATTTGTTGAATGTGCTCAGGTGTGTGGGATGACGATCCAAGCAATGACGCTTTGACGCGTAATGGCACTCTGCAGACGGGCTCTGGAGCTGATGGAGAGCTGGTGGAGCGGGACTACTTCGAATTTGGTGAAACATGTAAGAAAACACCAAACTCCTTCAAGAACTTAGTTGCATTATTTTGAACGTACATGGACTGATTGTCATGGTATGATTGGGTTTTCCTTTTAACTTGTTACTCCTTGAAACCCTGCAGGACCCTGTGGAATGGGATCCTTTACAGATAATTCAGAGTAATGTTGGTTTCATATTTCAGGGCGAATTTCGGAGGAAGACTCTCTGTTCTTCTACCAGTCTCCTAATGAAAGCTACGGCTCCTTGAATGACCCCAACTTCACTCCAGACTTCCTGCAAGAGTTGATTGACAAGGCACCGCCGGGCAAATACGAGGAGGCCAAGGCCGTCTGCGGGTCAAGCAAAACGTGTCTGTACGATTCCTTGGCCCTGAACGATACAAGCATCGGCATGGCTACCTTAATGCTCAATGAGATGAACAGCATTAATATGGCCATGTCAAGTAAGTACAATGTCGACCGTTGGTGTCTATAAGCTGATCCCTGTCCAACATCACAAGAATGCAAATGTACCGATGCAGTGTATTTGGTATGGCTACCCCGCAACTTATTGTTCAAGCCAACAATACAAATAAAGCATACATCTTGAAAATGACTTCGCTTCAAACATAACTCTATGGAATCGAAATCTTTTTGTTATTGGCTTGACCAACCCACTGATTGACCGACCACCAATTGAACAACCAAACAACCCAACGACCATGCGACTCACCACAGACAGACCCAGGGAGCGATTGACCAACTGACCGACCATACCAACAAACCCAATCACCCACTATATGGTTGATATATTTTCAGTGAACTTCCCGCCCAATCTGACGCTGGTAGAGTCCATTGAGGTTGTTGTAGGACAGGCCTTCACCTTGCAGTTAGAAGCAGTTGATCCAGATGGAGATAATGTCACATACCACCTGCTTCAGAGCGTAGAAGGAGCTTCAATTTCATCTGATGGTCAGTAAAATCCAATATAACTGACTTTTCATTATTTACCCCATCAAAATTGGGTGTGTACTCTAGAATATTAAGTTCAGTTTCCATGGAAAAGACAAGTTGTTTCCCATTCTTGTAAATGATTTCTGCTTGTTACCATTTTTGTAGATACCCAACAATTATTTACAAAACGTGTTTGAAGTTCGCATAAAGAAATAGTCAAATCTTCCAGTAGTAAAAACCAATAATTTGAAACTTACAAACTTTTTGCCGAAGAGTTAGCTGTAGTACCTTTTTGTTCTCACATTGTAATTCAATGACCGTGATTACTCATTCACAATTGGTCGTAAAAACATAACAATTTGTTTGAATTTTACCTAAATTTAATGGTCATCTGTCTTTGATTTCCTTTCACATTTTCCACAGGCCTGTTCACATGGACTCCTGCAAACAAGTCCAAGGTCTCGATCGGTTTCCTAGCCACAGATGGTATAGCAAATGCAACGCTTGAACCCATTGTGCAGCTTTGTGGCTGTGAGAATGACGGCACCTGCCTGTTTGATCAGTACGTCAGTGGAACTAATCTCGTGCAGGATCGTTTTGGGGTGAGTACAGGAATAAGTTGAGCTGGCAATGATCTCATTCAAGCAGAAACACCTAATGGTGTGTAAATTACCACAATATATAAAACCAAGTAGACGTGACCTGTATTGCTAGTAAAGAGGCATTATTTCCGTGTACAATCTTCTTCAGGTGGTGTTGTGTGAGTGTCAGCCGGGTTGGACCGGTGAGTTTTGCGAAATGGATTACGACGCCTGCGCTGACAACCCTTGTTTCATGGACGTGGCTTGTACTGATGAGGCCCCGCCATCGTACAACAGCACCTGCGGACCTTGCCCTGAAGGACTCGAGGGAGACGGCAAGAGCTGCCAAGGTATGTCTTATCTGTTTGTTTGTCCTCATTGTTGTCATCGTCTTCATTGTCGTCTGCTACTGCTGATGTTAATATCAATGCTGCTGCAAGCTTGGGTACAATAAACCCAAATATTGAGTATGCCCATGTGCAGATCTGAACAGCTCATTGGTCACTGTGGCAGGGACGATCGCAAACTTAAGATCACTGCTAATGGCTGACTATATTTTCCCCATAGGGGCTTCCAAACAAAGGCTTTCCTTGCTTAGATGTTCCAGTCTGGTGTATCAAAGGCCATAATCCAGATGCTTGAAGTGGTTTATACGCCTTAGCTCACCCCCACGTTTGTGCGTATAGAATGGCGAATTGTCTGGAATGTCGAAGTCTAAATATTATGGATTTTAAGCATTCAGGTACACCTTGAGGAACTCTCTGGAAGAATTATTGGCCTTCACTTATGAGGGGCAGATATCAGCAAAGGTAAGATCTGTCTATGTGACAGGACCAATCCTTTGAGACCTGCGGGTAATGGTAAACCCAAGGTCCTCATGACTATAAACATGGTCTTCCCGAAGGAAATCTCATCAGCATGAGGATTCTGTATGCCAAGTCAATCAGACAACTTAAACCATTCACTGTCTTGATGTGTTTCTGTAGATATTGATGAGTGCGAGTTGTACATCAACCAGACAGCTAGCAATGGTGGACTTGGTTGCGATCAAAACTGTGAGAACATCCTGATGAACTACACGTGCAGCTGCAATCTTGGATATTTACTGCACGAGGATGGCAGGCGATGCATCGGTGGGTATTAAAGTACCTTAAAGAAAACCATTTCCCCTTGGAGATGCAAATTATTGAAACGATATTGCAAGACAAACATATGTTATGCCATGTCACCACATGAAACAATCTTCAACTGTGGGCCGATGAGTTAGACATTGAATTTGTTTTATGTGAGATGTCCATTTCAGTGCCTCTTTTAAAACTGCCTTTGTTTAGTGAGTTTGCCCTTTGTTCTTCCAACAGAAGCACCTTCCACCGTGGTTCCAGTTTCCAGTGCAGCTTCAACATCAACTTATCAATCAGAGACCTCCACTGCAGGTTTGTAGATTAGATATTGTATTGTATTCAGTGAGAGTTCAGTCAGGGTTTGGACATAGTGCAGGCACATGCGATGGACGAGTCCAGTGTGAGATGTTACCTGAAACGCAGTGAAGCAACAGCATTTTCCGATATCTGTTGCAACCAATTTATTCCAACTGTATTCCAATCATTTCAGCAATTTAGTTTTCAATAGTGATAAAAATTCCAGATTGCAATGAATTCACACTGTTTTGTTCATGTAAATTCGAGTATAAGGTGGAGCTAACTCAATTGTTATACTTTCTTGCATAAAATGTGGGTTTTTTTAACAGTAAGAATCCTCCAATTTGTTTACTTATTAAATATTAAATAATCGTGCAAAGCATGCAAACCCTCAAATCTTTTTTTTTTTTTTTTTTTTAAATATTATTATAAACACACAAAGAAATTGTAGTGTATATAGGCTATTTTTGTGGTTTGTACTGATTAATTACTCACTACTTAAATGTTTCACTGTACTTTTCACTGCCAAGCACTTATGTTGCGAGGGTCCAGGAAATATTTAATGAAAATAATTCATTTATAGAAGTTCCACCTCATGTTGTAGCTGATTTCTGGTTTTTTTTTAACAGAGCCACCTTCAACCATGAATCTGATGTCAACTGCAGCTTCAACAACTCGTTCGGCAACATCTTCTGCAGGTAAATCATAGGGCTTTCAATACAAATTTAAAAAAATAATGAATAAAACCTGTGAAACAACAGGCAACGAATCTCAAGAGTCGCAAAAAAATATGTAAAAGTCTTTATAATAAAACCTGACTTAAAAAACAGGCACGTTTCCTCTGCGAAAACGGCGGTTTTACATGACATCGTACATGCACACATAAAAACTTGACAGTTGAATCTGGCATGTTTTCAGGAAAGAGGGGGTAGTATTCAAAATTGTGTCTAATGTATTGCTGAGTAGAATAATTTGTCTCATTGATAAAAAAAATCAATTGATGACGTCTTCATGACGTCACTTTGAATTTTGCTTAATGTTTAATGAAAATATTTCATTTTTAGAAATTTAAATCTGCAGTTTCGCTTCAAGCAGCTGATTTTTGATGTTATTTTTAACAGAGCCACCTTCAACCGTGAAGTCAATGTCAACTGCAGCTTCAACAACTCGTTCGGCAACATCTTCTGCAGGTAAGATGTTTTCCACGTGGTCCTTGTCTTTTGCATACATTAAATATACAAAAACAATGAAAATAAAGCGTGAAATGACAGGCAACTTATCTCAAGAGTCGCAAAAGAATATGTAAAAATCTTTATGATAAACCGGACTAATAAAAAGGCACATGCCCTTTGCCAAAAAAACGGCGCTTTTAAATGGCATTGTATATACCTGCATGTACATGTGGAGATTGAATTGTTGTATATAGATACCATTCATTTTTAATTGAACACCAATTTTGTTTTGTTGTATGCTACAATAATCCTATATGCACATAGAACAGGGAGAGACTGTTCACTTAAAAGAAACATTAATAAATTGTTGTAGTAAACATAGATATCTTGCTGCTCTTGTTTTTTCTTGGTAACAGATACCCCATCGACAACCTCTCATAGATCGACTGCAACTTCAACAGTGACCTCGAAAACGACTTCTCAAGGTTTGATTTTTGAAAACAAGGGACATATCACTGACTATGAAAGTATTAGGCCTATGAAAGTGCTTTTATTAATATTGGTCGTTATTTCTGCAATTTTATTCTGTGTTTTTTTTATGTCAAAGAAGCGCCATTCAACTGCATCAATTTAAAAAAATTCTGCTGCTCTGATTTGGCCCTTACAATTGCTTTTATTTTTTTATTTCAATGCATACAGAAAGAGAAAAGTTAAATAAATTATATGCAACTTGTACAGGAAGTGAAAGTGCTTTTTTTAAAGGAGCTTAATGGTGTAAAAATCAAATAATGGAGGCAGTCGGATAGTATGAAAGTGCTTTTATTGAAATTGGTCTTTGTTATGTTTGCAGTTTTATTCCATTATTTTTTGTTTAATAGGAGCGCCATCAACGACAGCTGCGATGCTAAATGCCGCTGCGACAACTCGTTTATCGGATACCTCTGCTGCAGGTTTGGCCTTTAAAAATACATTTTGTTCTCAATGCGTCAGGGATAGTGAAACTTAGCACATACATAACAGAGTCTGAAGGACAGATAGAGACAATTGACATAAAACGTGTTGATATTAATATCAGTGTTTTTATTATACTGGTAATCAGGCGCTCCATCTATGACCTACTTTGAAAACGACTCCTGTAGGTTTGTGTTTGATACGAAAATTGTTTTTATCTCAAAGGGTGCAAAAAAATGAGCTTATGTTGAACAATTGAAATGGAGTATAAAAGTTTTGTTATTGGCTTCGATTTGTATGGTGGTCGTTTTTCCTGTAAAAAGTGTCTATGGATGCATACCTGCAAATAAACTCCCATAGACACTAGTGCTAAATGCCCATACTTCAATATTATTTTAAAAATACTCAAAACTCTCACAGGTATTCAAGCTGCACAGAAAAATGATGATCAATGTGTCATCTTTCATTTTCTTTTCAATTTTTGGTGAGTTGACCATTGACTTTTCGAGATATTTTCACGCAAAGAAGACAACCGCTATTTTCCCCAAAGCGGAAAAGTAGACATCTTGAAAAACGATCCCTCCACAGCAAGGCAAAATAGCGCCACTTTCGAGCCCAATAGCATCCAAAATGCTCAGAATTGGAAGCCCCAAGTCTGGGCCAGAGGTTCATTGCCATATCTCTTCAATTCCCCAATTTTACGGCGCTCAGAACTCTCTAATATAGAATATTTTGAGGGTATAACTTTTATTCATGAGCTTGGCGGATCGATTTACCGGTGTGCACCCCTATGGTTTTTTTATTGAATAGGAGCGCCATCAACGACAGCTGCGATGCCAAATGCCGCTGCGACAACTCGTTTATCGGATACCTCTGCTGCAGGTTTGGCCTTTAAAAATACATTTTGTTCTCAATGCATCAGGGATAGTAAAAGTTAGCACATACATAACAGAGTCTGAAGGACAGATAGAGACAATCGACATAAAACGTGTTGATATTAATATCAGTGTTTTTATTATACTGGTAATCAGGCGCTCCATCTATGACCTACTTTGAAAACGACTCCTGCAGGTTTTTGTTTGATTCGAAAAAAAATTTATCTCAAAGGGTGCAAAAAAATGAGCTTATGTTGAACAATTGAAATGGAATATAAAGGTTTTGTTATTGGCTTCGATTTGTATGGTGGTCGTTTTTCCTGTAAAAAGTGTCTATGGTTTTTTTATTGAATAGGAGCGCCATTAACAACAGCTGCGATGACAAATGCGGCTTCGACAACTCATCTATCGGATACCTCTGCTGCAGGTTTGGCCTTTAAAAACATTTTGTCCTCAATAGTATACAAATATTGAGTGGCTTCGAGTGAAATGGGATGAATATTATCGCAAGGTAAAAAATTCCATTTCACGAGGCGAAGCCGAGTGAACTGGAAGAGTCCAGTTCATTGCTTCTCCCCACCCAGGGGTAAAATGGGTACCTGTGAGGGCAGAGATGATTATTGTGATTGATTTTAGTTTTTTTGCACCAAAATGGCGGCATCCAGCTGTATAATCCCCAGGGAGCTAAGATGGTATATTGATTCATTGGCCCAGTGTGCAAGGTAATAATGATGTGACGGCTTGAGCACCAATACTGGTGGATACGTGCACTTTATGAATACTCATTATTAATTAGCATCATACTAATTTGTATTTGTACTGGTACGTAGGCATTCCTTCTACGACCCCTCGGAGAACAACTTCAACTTCAGCTGTGACTTCAAAAACGACCACTGCAGGTTTGACTTTGATATGAAAAGTATTTTAAATTGTGATATTTATCATTTCCTTGAGATTTCGTTGAACAATCAAACAGCCCATGAAACTTTTGTAATTTGACTTAATCAGCATTAATTTTTACTTGTTAATTTATGATTCTGATAATTTGAGGGTAGTTTGAATTGTACAGCTAATGTTGGGTATTTGTTTTGATTTCTAGTTTTTCCCCCAGAGCAACCAAGCGCAACCGAGAAAATGACCACTGCTATGTCAAAAGCAGGTATTAAACAACAATTTAGTTTTTTTTATGAATTCATTTTGTTTTCTGAATGCTCTGGCTGGCTAAAATGATATTTAATATTGTCAACTTTTTGTTTTCAGAGTCAACGACTGAGCGAATCACAACAGCTCGTGGCACCTCAGCAGAACCTACAACTACAGGTATCGAATTAATATAATCTCATCCAGTATCTAGCAAATATAATACATTCAGGTTTCAAAAGTTGTCCTAACTTTTGTTTAGTCGCTTTAATTGGCCTGGAACCTGGCAGAGAATTCAACAAGAAGCTCACTTCCTCCAGATTCATTTACGGTCAATTCTTGCAGTTGTCTTTGATGACAACAATTCCGTCAGATTCAATGCATATATGTTGGTTAGTGTTGGGTATCAAGTATGCCTATCTGCTGATGCAGTATATGGTTATTGTTTTAGTTTATGAAAAAGAAAAATCCAAGTCGGTACCATGTGGCTAGAAGCCAGGTTGCAATCAAATTATGTAATGGAATTACAAACACATGTTTACATGTTAGAGTTCATTATTGAAAATTGTTCAAATTTGTATTGTTACTTCCTACGTTAATATACAAAAATACAAATATTTTTTTTCTTTTCATGTTTTTGTTTTAGACTGCCAGCCGTTAATCTGTCTGAATGGAGGGACATTTGATGCTGAGTCTTGCGAGTGTGTTTGCCCACTTACACATTCAGGAGCAACATGTTCTGGTGAAATGAATATCATAATTACATACCTTCCCTTTGAATTAAGCATGCCAGTGTCTCTGTTTTTAACCCTTCCAAACTTTGCTTTTTTGCCTCTTTACTTACAAGTATGTTTGATGGTTAGTTTGTTTGCATGGTACTTTTTGAAAGTCAATCCATGAAGACCTGACCAAGTAGAGATACTAACTCCAATTTCGGTGGCCAATTTCAGTTCTAAAAACTCACTCGAAACTCAACATAATGCTGCAGATCCTCTAGGTTTTAGCCTCTGTGTCATTAATGCCATCAAAGACCAATAATCTACGATCGGAGGTCATCTAAAAACTTGCACCCCTTGTTTTGCAGTTGAGAATCCATGTCTTTCTGGTAATAGATGCCCTGGTGCTCAACACTACTGTTTGCCAGACTTGAACCAAGATGGCTTCACTTGTGTTTGCAGTGTCTTTGATGGGTTTTTCCCGCAAGACGATGGTTCGTGTCGAAGTAAGAGGAATTTTTGTCCTTTAATATACCACAGGCAGTTTGAAGTGTAGTGTCTTTTGTATGATTGCCAGAAAGAGGATCTTTATTAGCCCCGCCTCCTTTTGAAACCTGCTTATCATGATTTAATCAGTAGAATTTGGATTATGTTAACTTAAGAGATTCTTTACCAGTCGAGATTAATGAAACAACACCTCTAACTTTTGGTTGGAGCAAGATGAATAGTGTTGTTAAATAACTGGGCTGAAACATGGTTTAATATTTAAGCATAATAGCAGTTTTATTGTCAGCATTGTGTACATTTCACTTAATTACCCTTTATTCCGGAGAGGTATCAAATATTATATTCTTGTAACATATTTTGATGCAGAATAGATAAATCACATGTATAGAGTTTTAATTGTTTCTATGATATTACCCCCTTTTTGAACAGAACTTCCGTCTAAACAGATTGTGCTGATAGCTGTTTTGGATTTCAATCAGGCCTACCAAAATCCGTCATCAGCTGCATTCCGGAGACTCGCTGCAGTGTTTGAACGGGCGGTAATATACTCGATTAGGAGAAATGCTTTTTATATTGTGCTGTATTTAAATCTTCCTTCTCTCTATTAGGAGCAATTGTTGAATTAAGTAACGTAGAATAGTTTGCTAGAGTCCTATTTGAGGCAAGATGACATAAACAGTCTTAACTTGAGCACGGGGCTTAAAATATTAGACCTGTAAATGACTTGAATTGTGGAAAACTTCTCAGATGTTAACGATATGAATAGGGACATTTAAGGTGGTTTTCAGACCAATTTCTCGGATAATGATCTTGCTGTACGCGAGATGCACTATTAGTAATAACGTCCTTTACGTTTCTTGAGGCAGAAACGACAGTCAGATGTGTAATTCAATATGGAGAGTATTACCTTAGTGGTATAATTTACCTTTAGATTTTCATGAGACTGAAGGAGAACCCATCTACCAACAATGTATCTTCAGTTCACGTCCCGTTGATGGAGGAAGGTAGTGTTGTCGTGAGGTCTGTGGCTTCATTTGAAAACGGTGCGCCCTCAGACGCCAGCCTGCAGCAAGTCATGTCTAGCAGTCCATCACTGAGCGACGGCAACACAGTCATCAACTTCGACCAGGATGCCATCACTGTAAATGGTAATGCAGTAATTGTTCATCAACCTTTAATAGGGTTCTGGCCCATTGGTGGGTAAAGGACTATGAATGAAGGTTGTCCTCTTGTCTGAAATATTAGTGCATCAAGAGGAAGGTAGACAAAGGTTGTGAGCACTGCGAATTGAGTCTTGATTGTTTAATTTACCTCATACATTCTTCTTTATTCAGTTTACCCCGTACCATACTAATTATTAGTTTCCCTTAGAGACGAGTGTTTTGAAGCAAACTGTGTGGTTACTCTGCTCTTTAGACGTGAACAAATGGCAATATGGAGGATCGGGAAAATCAATTCCAATCAAGATTTCCGAATCGAGCTTCAATGAGCATTATCTCACTTTTTCTGTATCAGAATTTATGACTCCAAATTGTCCTAGATTATTCGGACATTGGTCTATACGCTGGACACAATTGGGGTTACTTTTTGCTTCGGGTAAAGACAAAAGAGATTGTCTGAGCACCCTTTTATTGTGTCTGCCATTTCCCAGAATGGTTATTTTGAATATTTTTTTTGGTTTTTAGTGGCCTCTGTAAACAAGGCAAAAAATTCAATTCTTTTACCAATTAGTCCGTGTACGCACCCAAAACACCCTGCGTGTTACTCCCTGTACTGCGCAAAGCCGCCAAGTACTCGGATGATTTTACTGATTCTTCAGGGAACACATTTACAATGTAATGCACGGGTGATAGTAATTAATATTAGATCCACTTTTTAAGTTTGATGATTTTGTCATGACAGATGGGGAAGTAGGATGTGTACCGACCCACTGCAAGAATGGTGGGACATGTGAGGCGTCTGGAAACTTTCCTTATGTGTCGTTTACGTGCAGGTAAAACCAAAATCCAGATCCATGGAACGTCAGTCTAAATGCACCCATCATTCTATTGTTTGTAGGCGAACTTCCGTACACTGGTTTTCAGTAACTTATTTAACGGAAGAGAAATTCATAAGTATTTGTATAAATTATTCGCCGTGGGAAAATAGGAAAATTGATCGATATCCAACGAAACCCAAAGTGCATGAACAAGACGATTTCTTTTCAAAGATTAGGCAATAATGTAATGTTCATTTTCTTTTTCATTTCAGTTGTCCAGCTTCATATACTGGGGAACGTTGTGAGATAGAAGTCCAAGGTAAGCTTGTTAAAAAATGCAGATATAATCTGTTGCAGAAAAAGGTTTTTGAATGTATATTTGTCAAAACCTAGTGTGACCTCATTTGTGACGTTCACCGAATTAGCTTTGCACTTAGCTTTGCCTAAAATGAACAGATTTAACTTTATATTGCAAAACCTTCAAATCAGAATTATTGTAAAACGTCTGAGTGAACATTGTTTATACTTATTTAAGAGACTTAAAGTTCGGGAGTTATTAATTTTGCATGTATAAAGTGTCATTTGTCAAAATATACCAGAATACAGTTTCACTATGTTGCATTCACGGTATACTATAACCTCTAAGTGTTTTGTAATCGGTGTACCATTCAGAGCCTGATGGTGGCGGCCTATCCACAGTCACTATAGTACTTATCATCGTTGGCTGCATTGTGCTGCTTACCGTTGTGATATGCATGCTGGTCTGCTTGTGTCTCATGATGCAAAGTCAACAGGCCAAGTCGCTGGCTTACCGTCAGGGCAGACAGCAGTCTCGTGTGCCAAGAGAAAGCGGGAGCATTCTTGATAACTACGGTGATCTGAGTACGGAGTCTGGTGATTTCTCCCATATGGCAGATTTCGATGACGAAGGCGGTAGGATGAGTCATCTCATGCACGTGATGAACCGTTCTCCCTACCTGCAACAGGTGAGGCATATTGGCAGAACAGAGCGTTAATTGTGCACAGTCATTAGTGTAAACTTCTTTTTTGATGTGAGATAATCCGAATTTACTTTTCTCTGCTCTCTTTCTGTGAAGAACTTGTCTGGTCGAGAGGAGTTTGTCCGACCCTACATGGTTACTGGAATGGAAGGGCCGTATCAGTATCGTGAGGATCGTCCCGTGAGTACTCAATTTCAAGCTGACAAAATGTTTCGAAAGTTAGTTCAGACTACAGCAAAAAATAATTGGAAACAAATTGGGACAAAGTGCAGGTCGAGGTCTTAATTGACTTCATATCAATTCATATCAAAGTCGTATTTCATGCACATGAACAAGCGTGGCTCTGTGTATCATGTTTGTTACAATTTGCTAAGTTTCGATATGTCTTACGACTTGAGAAATATCTTTCAGGCTGATATTTAAGAATTGTTGACTGGTGTGATGTGGGCTATGACGTTTTGAACACCTGAGGGGCGCATAGCACCGCCAAGGGTGCTATGTTATACCTATGTCTTGGATTCTTTGGATTTTGATGTAACAATCACGAAAACAAACAGCAGTGAACACAACAATCATGACAATCGAACGCCAACTCACATGCATGTCGCGTGCTCCGTCGAAACAGCTGATCATCTGCTAGTTCGCTGCTTCCACTCGTGTGAAAACATGGTGAAAATAGCGTGGGTACCAACGATACAAACGTTTCACACCGTACGTACCGCATACGTACAAAGTCATAGCACACTTCCTGTGGGATATCATGTACGTGATATCCCACAGGGAGTGTGCCATGACTTTTTATAAACTGAACACGTGATCGTTCTAGGCCAATGAAAATACAGTATATTCTAGACAGAGGTACAACAATAATATATATCATTCAGCGCAGTAAATGTGCATTACGTTCGCATAGACAGGATCAATGCCAGCCCGTCTGTACTAAGAGAACATCCAATATTAGAATGGGGGAAGTTTGGGTTATTTGGTTATATAGTTTTTTTCCGATCTGTGTATACATTTAATTGGTTACTTCCCGAAAATCCCCGTCAGTTTAGAAAAACCTAAAGGTCCGTCTATGGGTGTTTATATTTATTTCAACAAAAGCACATGTTCCACATCTGGTAGCAAGACCCATTGGTTTTGTACAAAGTTGTGAAGTATTCTCAAGTTGTTAGTTTGAGTCAACTTCCATGCTTGTTGGGTTCGAGGAATAGCAACCGTCCCTCACTGAAACACTATGAAGCGAATGTGCAAGATGCTGGCCATGGTGTCAGACGATCACAGTCTGCCTTAAAAATTGAGTCTAAATCGAAAGTTTATGTAATTGTACTGTGTGTCATCTGCAGTTTGAGACTTTTACTGTTGCACAATTAAGTTCTGATTTGTATAGGGCTACTTTATCATATTGGTATCCAATCTTGTTTATTTCCTCAGGTTAACCCAGCAGGTCGTGTGGTGCGCAATCCTATGGTCAACTAGACATCCCATCCACTCACTGCACCTTTACTACATTTTGCTAAACCTGAGTGTAACACATATTTCAAGTTACTTTTACTGATATCCATTCGATAACTTGATAACAGGTCGCTATTTTTCTAACTGGAAGATTAACATTACTGCAAGGAATGATTTAATGGTGCGTGTTAAAATTTCAAGAAACTTTCCTCTTTGTTTTGTTTAACTCTGACAACTCTGTCTTCTTCAGACAAGGTTTGCATCTTTAGCTGATAGTTGAATCGGGACGCTTTTGTACCAGCATACTGACCGATCTTTTGAATTGTTACCTTTGCGTATGTTACTCAGAAAAAAATTGTAATCAACAAGCGTTAACGAATATTACGTTTAAAGTAAATATCGGTGGATGGGTATTGTATCCAATATTCATAAATACCTCAGACAGTTTAGCCATTCCTATTGGTCGAGAGCCCGTCACGTGGCCGGTATTAAACGGATGATAAAGACATGGCTAGCTGGTCTTAAACACTTTTCCAGTGTCACAATAAAATGTGGACTCCTAAAAATCCAGTGCCTCTTATCGTTTCATTGGTTGAACGTTCACAATCCTCACGTAGGCATGCGCAACACTACCAGGGAGTTAGAATTTTATAGTTCTAAATTCAAAACGCAACGCGCCAGGTGCGTTCTGCGCGACATCGCGTAGAACATGATACGCGCGCGTCAATCTCCATAAAAGGGTTGTTTTCATCTTACTCGCCAGCTGAACACTCCATTATTTTGCAGGAGGGGTGTTTCAAAAAGCATAAAGTGAATTTGTTGAACAAAATCGGGATGTTTTGAACGAATTATATGATTTTTTTTTACCGAAAAGGTATTTATGAATGGGAATAAATATGTACTCCGTCGGTATTTATCACTCTGTTTAATACCACTTAGAGTCTGGGTGCTGATAATTACCCTCGCCTCCGGCTCGGGTAATTATCAGCACCCAGACTCTAAGTGGTATTAAACAGAGTGATAAAAACCTCCGGAGCACACATTTATTCCCTTATATATGTCATGGTTATGTACGTTCGTAAAATTCATTACATTATATAATTTCAGTTGTTGATGATGATATACTTGTTTCATTGTTAAACTCAGTAGATGTTTATAGAACAGTGTTTTGAGAATAGTTATCCAAGTATGTAGTACAATACAGCCTCAGCTTCTGACTTGGCTGAATGGTTCCTGCTAAGCACTTCGCTACACCATAATCAGCCCATGCATTGTATGGCATTACTGCGTTCAAGGAGCAGATAGGTTGGTAATGTTTTGTTCGTATTCGCAAGATTGTTATCGATTTAGGAAATTGTGTAGCAGAAGTTAACCTACTTAATAAATGTATTCACCTATTTTATCTACATCTTTTGTTGTCGTGCTGCGATAGCTACCCTCACTAAATTAGCCATCTGGAACATATGGAGCACGATATAGTGACTGCGGTTTAGAAATACTGCCTAAAAGCGATTGCGCTTTTGAGGCAATCATAATGACAAAGTATATTCTAACCTTGACATTGAACATTAGTATCTGTTTCGGACCTCTCTAGCTATAGCTCTGTTGTAAACGATTACTCATGACTCCACAATCGCATCAGTTCAAGTCTCATGCGTTCTGTTGCTTATCAAAATATTCTGGTAAGTTTAATAATGTTCTGTTCCCCGAGTGTTTTCTGACATTATGAATCGAGGGGTAAATATTGTGTAAGATCACTGAACCCCATCCATATACAACGATCAAAATGTACATATTTCCTATACACATACACTTAATGTATTCACACATGTATTTTATTTGAATGATTTTGCTATTTTACTCAGATTGTTTCCCTTATTCACCCCGTATGAACCACATGCCAAACTGACCACAACTTATGATCAGAATTGACAAACATTATTCGTCATCTGATCGACACACCGTTTTAGTAACACAAAACTATATGCACTGCTTGCGTCATTTGATATGCCATTTCAGTTGCTCATCGGCTAAAAGTGTAATTTCTGACATCAGAGGAGTGGTCACAATAGCCTATACACACACATTTGTATTCTTTGTTTTGGCAAAACCATTGCCATTTGTTATGATACGGGGTTGATGAACAGGAAATGAGGGTGTATGTAATTTTTTTTTACTTCAAGGCATGGGATCATTTGCAGTCATCTATAGATACGAATTGAACGAGTTATCAAATGATAAAAAATATAGTCTTCTTATTAGGACTACAAATATACAAAAAAAATTCAGATACGCCTTTCTGTGTTATTTATGACGAGTATTTCCTTAAACTATGTGTGTGCATGCATGTTTTGTGTTTATTTTACAAAAAAAAAAAACTGCATTACGTTTTGAGTGATGTCATCGGAAATTTAAAAAAATGAAGTGCAAATGGTCCCATTGTCCGTTTTGAGAACTTTAAGATAAGTATTTAGTTTAATTATTACAGTGTATTGTTGTTTATTTTCGGTATTACAGTTAGGATTATTCATGTTTAATCGAGAGTGAAACTGTTGATAGATTGACATTGTAATCGTAAGTGCTTCCGAACAATCCGAGGTAGAAAATCAAGTTTAGCCTTGATGTCACAGTTCAAACTATGGAGGCAGTTTCATTATTAGTAGTATGGATGTTATGTATTTTATCCGTAAAGTAATCATCTTCTTATTTGTAGTCTATAGAGTTTGATATATACGGATCAGATAAATGGACTAGAACTGACTACCATTACATTAGTGACGGCGTCTGGGCAACACACATATCAATATTAATTTGCCCAACATAAGTTTCAAATTTGAGTAAAATATTGACTAACGTCAGGGAAGATTTTTTTCCCCAAAATTGAAGGTAGTTAGCATGTTCATCAACACTGGACAAAATAGGCAACCCATTTGTCTTTTTTTTAGTGCAGTCAAACACAAGAAAATATATTTCACACATGGAGATCCGGGTTGGGGGCACAAAGTACCGATAATTTGTATCATGGATCAAGGGTAAATATTGTAAGAGTAATCTATAACCTCATTTATATAGAGGTCACTACTTACGTATTCCTAAGTACTAAACGAATGCATTTTACACATGTTATGTTTTATTTGAATGATTTTGCTATTTTACTCAGATTGTTCCCCTCATTCACCCCGTATGAACCACATGCCAAGTTCAACTGGCCACAATTTAGGATCAGAATTGACTAAAATTAATCTTCATCACATCGCCACATGCAGTTTTAGTAACATTTTGATGCCGTTTCAGTTGCTATACGGCTACAAAATGTAATTTCTGACATCAGACTCAGATTTGGGGAGTTATTCACAGTACTCTGCACAAACTTAGGCCTATGAGTTGACAAAACACTGGCCATTTGTTAAGAGGCGGGGTTTGGAGCTGTGGTGGTGTGAACAGGAAAGTGAGGTAGAACATGTATTATTTTTTTTTAACTTAAAGACATGGGATCATTTGCAATTATTTAGATGCAAAGACAACGAGTTATTGACCAATACGAAGTTAATCAAGCTGTGTTGGACAATCAAACGTCTTTATAGAACGACTTTCTGTGTTATATAATTATGCATTTTGTTTGAATTATATGCACAATTTTTGATTTTATTCTGCAAAGAAAGAGCAGAAAAGCATGACGAATACTAGTTTCGTTATACTGCATGACGTTTTTGAGAGATATTGTCATCGGAAATTTAAAAATGATGTGCAAATGGTCCTTTTGTCAGTTTTGAGAACTTAAAGCTAAATAATTATACTTTGATGATTGCAGTGTATTGTGGGTTTACGGTAACAGTTACTATATTATCCATGTTTAATCCAGAGTGAAACTGTTGACATTGTGCTCGTCAGTGCTTCCGAACAATCTGATGTATGATCAAGTACTCATACAGCTGAGCCTTGATATCGCAGTTCAAACTATGGATGCAGTTTCATTATTAGAAGTATTGATGTTAAATTTATCAAAGCGTTTTGACATCGTAGCCCATCACAGCTTATTTGAAATGTACGGAATGGCGCAGGGTGCGGGCCTTGATCGACTATAGAACTGGCTACTATTCAAAGTCGTGGTGGCATCTGGTCAACACACACTGTTGAAAAAATGGTTAAAACACTATTGTTTTACCCAACATTATGTATCAAATTACCTCAATTGTTAATTAATTATTTTGGGTAAAATATTGAACAATGTTTGGCAAGAAGTTTTTTCTCCAAAGAGAAAGACAGTTCGTGTGTTCACCAACACTTAACCGAATTTTCTCAGTTTTGAGATGTCGCATTGCGGTACTTTGGACTAATATGGTATATCGATACCCCATATAGCTTCCAAACAATGTTTGTTTTGTATTACCCGAAAGCATTGAAAAAAAAAAGGTTATCCAATACTATGCTCAGCTACATTCATTCATGATGGGTTAATATGTCATTTTCCTTGGTTATGGGATAAAAAAAATAAAAACACTGAATCACCGTTTCCAGCATTTGTTATTTTAAAAAGATTGTGTCTCCTATACGATATATTTGCAGGCGTCTATTTAAAAAAAATCAGATATCCAATTAAATCCGGCATGGGGAGTGGTTTTGGTCAGAATACAGCATGCCTAACATATAAACCAGCAAGTGCGAGTGCACATGCCGTCGTGCACTTCAATACAATATGTTTATTTCATCAAAATTAAAAGACTTTAAAAGTGAAATTCTTCTTCTTAAAGTTGCGCATAAAAACAATTTACATATATTTAGACACGAAATGAAAGTGAAAGTCTTGCATGAAATCTATCAAAATGATCACCGACAGTTTAAAAATAAGACGCCCAAAAATGCAACGCCGATGGGAATGACAAGAACTGGGAATATATGTAATGCGAATGACGAGAAAACCAAGATAGGACACTTGTTTTTTTTTATCAACCTAATCGGCAAGTTTATTCCAACCAAACTATTTTTGCAAAATTATTTTGAAAAAAGGGAAAACATGTGATGTGATATTTCATTATTCATCAATCATTAAAAGACAAGAACGAAACAAGTTGTTTTTGTTTTTATCAACGTAGGCCTACATTTTTTAAACGCACATAGGCATATTATTTGTTGCTTATTAAATAACAAATAAATACAGAGTAACATCAATCAACTCTTGATAGGATGTTTTTCAAAACCAATTGTGCAATTATTCGAAATGAAAAATATGACAATATATACAATCAAGGAATTGCAATAGACAGTTCCTCTACCATTATTAACGTTTAAATATATTTACAGTAATTCATTTTGGAAAATTCTAAATAACAATTCGGAGCACAGTTCAACTTGAACTTAAAGCAAACTTAGAATTCTGTGAAAAAAATGCTTAATTATTAAATTAGTCGCAGTACGTCACTCCTATCTTTATAACAGAACAAATTATGCATAATTAGCATGCATTCTGCAAAGTGACAAAAAGCTCCGCAATGCTTAGGGCTTTTTAGGATGCAGCCTGTTTTTGACAACCATCTTACCCTGTTTATTATAATTCCCTTAAGGTTTCAAATTTGTTGAGTGAATTATTTTCTTCTTTACAACCAGTTTTAAAAGTTCCTCTCAACCTTCCTGCTCAAATATGAATATTTTACTTTCCCATTAAAAGTGAGTTTATCTGCAGTTAAGGGTTCAGGCTGACGTGAACGTTGTATGAAAACATGCATCCCTCCCAAAATCACGTTGCAGGAAAAAAAGACGTTTTTGTCGATAATCTTTGTATTGGAACACTATCTCCTTGGGCTTAAGCATACAGCAGATGTGGCTCTCTTAATTGTACATTCGATTCAATCTCATATACAAACATGGGCGTCAATCCTGAAGGGGGGGGGGGGGGGGGGGGGGCGGGGGACGGTGGACATGTCCCCCCCCCCCCCCCCCACTTTTTGAAGGGTGGGTGACACAATATCAAATGTCCCCCCCCCCCCCAGATTTTGAACTCGTGCCTCATTTACAGGGCCCTATAATGTACTACAATGTATCTTTTGCTAAAAAAATATTGGTTAAAGTGGTCAGAAATTGCCTCAGATAGCACCACAGAGCATTTAGAATCCCAAAAAAATTTGGGGGCCCTCAGGCCCCGAACCCCACGCCTCTAGCTAAGAATATAATAGCTTATTCAATGACTTCAACTTCGAAAATGATTTTTAAAATATTATCTTTTGCTGGGAAAATATTGGTTAAAGTGGTCAGAAATTGCCTCAGATCGCACCACAGAGCATCTAGAATCAATTTTTTTTCGGGGCCCTTAAGCGGACCTCGAACCCCACGCCTTTAGCTGAGAATATAATAGCTTATTCAATGACTTCAACCACGAAAATGATGTTTAAATCATTATCTTTTGCTCAGAAAACATTGGTTAAAGTGGTCAGAAATTGCCTCAGATCACACCACATGAGCATCTAGAATCCGAATTTTTTCCGGGCCCTTAAGCGGGCCCCGAACCCCACGCTGTAAGGGCTTCGCACTTCGCGCTCGCATTATTTATGATCAAGGTATGACCCCCCCCCCCCCCCCCCCCACTTTTGAGAAGCGATTGACGCCCCTGTATACAAAACATAGTACAGGGTGACTCCAAAACAGTTGTGCAAGCAGACATCTTTAAATTGCTCAAAAAGTATCCAACATCAACATTTCATGTTGATGGAGTATAATTGTTTGTACTCTTGTGTATAATCACAGCGAAAATGTGATGCAAATCCATTCATGCAAACCAGAGATACAACAGAATATAAAAGGCGATGCGTTTTTCACCCGTTCTAAAGTAATTTACACAGTTAATGAAAAGACCCATTGCAGAGTGCCGGTTGAGCGATTTCCAATGCAATGTGTAATTCCCATTGGAATGGTTGAAAAACACATATCCTTTTATTATCTTTTACAGATTGGTTTACAGGAATGGGTTTCCATAACATTTTCACTGATTATAAACATGAGTATAAATAACATGCACCATCAAAATGGGATATTAATGTTAGGTACTTTTTGAGAAATTGAACGATATCTGCTTGCACAACTTTTTTGGGGGTCACCCTGTATTTTAACAACTGTTCAAATTTCATACTTCTGCATCGAAACGGCATGGCACGTTGATCAAATTTGCTAGAATTCTCCTCCTTTAATAACGACCTTATTAAAAGATCTGCCTCTAGAGTGCACTATTCCATTATTCAGCAGCTTGTTCTGCAGGTTTATCCACTGCCGAGCCCACAGCAGGTGCTCCATTCTGAACAGCACCGTTTGTCACCTCTCCGCCCTGTTTCTCCCCCTTGACGACAAACCAGACCTCATTGCGCCTCCCGATAAGCCTCCACGGGCTGTTGTACCCAGCTGTAAAGTAGAAATCCTGCTCCAGCTCGTACTTATCTTGGGTCAGCTCGGCCAGCGCAGTCGCCTCCGCCAGGTCTTTAGCCTCGGAGGTGTAACCACTGAAGGTTCTGTACACGGAAAGACATTGCTGGTTATTCACTTGTGGTGGCTACTGTGAAAGTTTGTACATGGTGTTGCCGAAGTCATAGTTGCCACATCCCGAGTCTTCTTCTTGACGTCTGCCTATAGGTTTAAGTATTTCAGCCCATGTATGAACTGCAATTCGCATGCGACATGATGTGGGTAGCATTGGCTTTTTCTCAACACAGGTGTTTTGTTTTGATAGAGCAGGGATTATTTTTGTAGAGATTACACTGCTTACGTTATCAGGATTTTCTGATGAAAGGCTGAAGCTCAATGAGTCAATTTAAACAGCAATGGTGTTTATCTTGGGGCATGTTTATTTGGAAATAATACAATCTAAAAAGTAAAGTATTAAAAATCACAAATAGCTTATGATTCAGTCTTCTATGGCAGATACAGGCAAATAACGACTGAATAAGTTTAGCAGAATAAAATACTGATGACATGCTTTTCAAAACAAATTCTAAACTTCAAATTAGGTTTTTGCCCTTCACCGACGTTTTTTAAACACTGTATACTCAGTGTGTTACCTCCCGAGTGAAAGTTGGAAAAAATCACTCGGGTGGGCAAAGGGCAAAAACCTAATTTGATTTATATCACCCCGACGCAAAATTCCATCTTATAATAAATTCTAAACTTAATATGGATTAATTGCAATTAGATCGTATTGCGACTTAACCCCCTGCCATGTTCGATGGCAAGCAATCTGCAGAAATTTAAATAAGAAGTAACTGTGATCTTACTTGACAACCACCCGGTGGGCTGGGAGGTGTGTCACATAGACATCCTTATCTGAGGGTACAGGGGGATCTCCTTGGAACTCCTGGGTGACATAGAACGACATTTCTTTTGTTGTTTTGCAAAAGGGGCCTGCTCCGGGGGTGATCTTTTTCAGTACTGGTACCGTCATCTCTATCTTCTGATCTTTAATAAGAGACAAAAAGATCACAGGCAACAAATATTTGACAGTTTACAGACCATGTTATGTTCTGCATAATGCATGCCAGTTGTCTACAAGGCAAAACAGTTTCTGAAGCACCTTTTTTAGTTTTCGACACAATGAAGGGGGGGGGGGGGGCTGGACACCACATCACACTAGGGGCGCTCTTCAGGATATAGATGTATATGATTGTATACTCGAGCTTACATCAAAAAGGCGCATTTGAAAAGCTGTTGTACTTTGTTTCTCCACTTTTCAGTCTTATTGAATACACTGTTTGTTGTTGGGATGTTCGAAAAAACCCTCGAAACTAGCTTCAAGTGGCCATGGCGTGAAGTGGCCAGAGCATCTAATTTTGAAACACAAGTACATGCCGTAGCTTAGTCTGTTGAACATCCTCTTGCACAGCAAGGTTACATGATACGCGAGCAGATTCGGCGATTCATTATGACAAGACTGCGTCTTGACGAAAGATTCTGACCATGAGTGGCCACCTTCTATCGGATCTTCGTTAACCCGTTGTATTACAAAAACATGTCGTCCAAAATGACCAAATCCACAGCTTAGTTCACATTTATGATCAAAATGGCGTTCCAGTTTCTAAAAAAACTTGGGGTCGCATGACATAGCTAGGATTATCAGACGTTCGTGGCTCTTCCCACGTAAATGTCTAATCTTGTGTAGCTATGCATCACTAAAAAAAAAAAAACAAGGAAGGGATTAACACAAGATTATTAACAGTATGAAAAATAATTCTTATCACAATGAGAAATGACTGCGAAAACAACAGAAGTTTCTTACCTTTTTCATTCTTGCCTGAGATGTAATTGAAGAGTTGAAAGAACATAGACCTGCTCTTCTTGGACTGTGTATCTGTTAACGGGTCTTCAATGCTGGATTCTGATGTTGTCACCCAGGTGGATTTCTCATAGTTCCGGACCTCATAAGGCAGGGGCTGAAATTTCAATTAGAATTGTAACAAAAGAAGAAAAATCTAGGTACGGTTTACATGTAATAACAGAAAATATGATTATGAGTGATTGATCTGATTCAATTAAGTTGGATCTTACATGACTTGAACACGATTGATTCAAATACTGATTGAAAAGAAAATTTGCGCTCAATTTCAATTTATAGACAATGTGTTTAGGCCGAGTAAAAAAAAAGTTTCAGGTGCTGGCTTTTAGAAAAAGTGAAGAAAGTGGGCGCTAGCTGTTCGCGTAACTTTTATTCCTGGAATGGTAGGAGGCTAATAGAGAAATGTTGAGAGAAAGCTTTCTAAAAAGTTCCTTAGAAATCAAAGGGGAACAAGTTATGTGGGAATTCCCCCAACTTGATTTTCCTGCATGTATGAAACAACCTTTTAAGAAAGGTTTTAAAGCAGTCCTCAAAGCAGCCCCCCCCCCCCAAAAAAAAAAAAAACACTCCCGCAAATTTTCAGACCTGTTCATTTGGCAGACAAGTCTAGTATCCAGGCTGAGCCCAGCAATCTATTATGAGGATGACCATGGAGGATACTCACGTTCTTAGGGTCTTGGGGTTCGACTTTGTAACTTGGCGACTCTAGTGTTGCCACGAGAGTTTTTGCTGCAGAGAACATGTTGACTATGACCGAGAGCCATGAGGAGGAATAAAATATATTAAACGTCATTAGCGAGTGGCATTTTCGAGTATTTTCTTCAGAATAATCAATCGGAACAAAACTCTAAAACCTAAAATAAGTAACACACTATTTTAACAAACACACAAAAATCCACAATATATATGATCTTTGACATTTAGAGGTGACTGCACATCAGATCTAGAGAAAAGCTGATGAAAATTATACTTACCCTGTGTCCGAATCACCTTAGTAGCAGTTATACTAAGGCATATTCTTGCTCTAAGGCTTCGGTGCAATTGTACGGCGTACATGGCACAAACGGCCTTCTTATTATCAGGCTGTATAAAAACACGTGCATTGTGTTTGATTGTATGCATGGGTGCGCGTGTCACGTGACTTGGTTGTATAACCTCTTTTGACACGTGCCTGTTGTACAATGCTGTTTCATAATGTGCTGTAATAAGCGGTCATAGTACGCGTGTACATAACATAGTACGCATGGTAAACATTGTACATGTAGTTGCTTATAAATTCGTGAAAGTGAACACGTCAGGCCAAAAACAAATTTGAACCGGCCAGCATCAGTGCACTGAGTGAAGTATTTCATGAGTAAATGGTCAGGTGAGTAACATATTGTGTCAGCGATTATATCATGTCATAAAAAACCTATATATTCCTTACTATACTATACAATATTACGTATTCATATTAATTCGATTACTGAGTGTGTGTCCACTGTGATAGTTGTCCGGTTGTTGGCCTTATCTGTACCATGAATCATGATTGATAAACAAGATTGATTGTGTTGTTTTTCTTGTGTAATATTCAGATTATGAAAATAAGCGGGGTGTATTATACTAAACTGCAGCAGTCAGCTGGGTCGGGGGTACTATTGCATACTAATGGGATGAGTGGGTGCATGGGTACGAGTCAGACAGGGCTCTGGAGTGCTCTGAAAGGTGCAAAACTAAATCAGGCCCAATTTACTCACAGTTTAGCCAGCAAAGTTCTCCAAATAATTCCACTGGGTCAAAGAAAATGTCCTCAGTATTTCACCAACCAAGTTTGCAGACTCAATTCAATTTTTAAAGGAGACATTTCTGCAATATATTGCACATGAGAGGGAAGTCAAGTTATTTCAAAATGGGGCTAAATACTAGACTGGTACATGTCCTACCATAGTCCAACTATAGTCCAACTATTTGAAAAGACTGACCTCTTCATTCAGCGTCCGACACCCATTCAGGGTCAATAGTCTGGTGGCTGGACTATAGAGAAATGTACGTGTAGTAAACTAGTTCCCGCTTCATGCCACACAATTCTTTTGGCATGCAGTACTGAAGCTGTGTTGGACTTGTTGTTTTAGGTGCCAGTCTATTTTCTTGTTTTGCATGCTTTCAATACCTTAATTTTTGGACTCTCATACACAGTATTGAGAGTCCCAAATTTTCGGACTAGGGTACGAGTGTGCTAGATATACAGCATGGACCCAGATTGCTTTCATACAAATTTGTATTTAACATGACTTGTTTCTAAATGTTTAAGGCCTCCTCATGCCCATGCAACCTCGTATTCTGCTTGAGTTTAATATAAATGAAACTTTATGGTTCAATAATTCAATCATTCAATCGAGTACAGTTATTAATATGCTTACCATTAATATTAGTGACTTTACATCTATCAAGGTAAAATATTTAGTTGCATTAACCATGAAACCTTTGATCCACCCTTTTGAAGCCCCTCCCGCCCCGCCCCCCAATATTTAAAGGGCTCATATGCAGTAATGTAATTTGTTTAATGTAATCCTTGAACATACACCTTTGTGTCCCATTTACGGTAACTTTGTTTTCAATTTTGGTGCCTTTGATTACTATGCTAATGCGATCAAATTGCCATATCCATGAGCGAAAGTGTGCATAATTTCAGGCAGAAATCTCAATGTTATACAGCTATTTCAGCACCAAAAATTGCCGAAATTATTTTTTTGGCGTCCCTTTGGTCACTTTGGTGATTAGCCGTTGTTTCAGTAGGCCTACATGACAGTAATAGCCAGTAAGCAGAGTTTTCTCATGCACACAGGTTTTGAATAAGCAGATTTTGGGTTCACAATTTGAACAGAAAACCTCTTAACTGAAGTGTTTTCTTGAAACGCATCACAGAAAAGCATGTATAATTTTAAACGTTTAAAAAAAAGTACACATTTCAACAAAATTAACCCCCCAAAAAGAGACGTCAAATACATTGAAGCTTAGAGGAGTAGAAAGTTGCGTTGAATATGTTTCCATTAAATATGTCACGGGTCCTTTAACCGGCCAGGACACGTGTCAGACACTACAGCAGAGGATCGGAAGGAAACAAAAATGTGGATTTGAGAAAATAGCTACAGGCCACCAGTCCTTCTATTTGTGTGTTTGTAAAGCCACCTTCAATTTCTTCAGGGCCAATTTTAAAGACACAAGTGGTGCGTTCCATAAATTCCCTGCTCCTCTTTTCTTGATTTCGTTGACAGGTGTCCTACCTAGAATGGCAATTACCCAGAGGTCCACCCTGCTTCTTTTCGCACTAGCATGGCTGGGGGTGTGTTCAAGTTTCACTGTCATCAAAGATGGAGCCAGCAGTCTCTACTTCTGCAAAGAATTGGACTGCCCCAAGTTTGAAGAAAAATACAACTCTACAGTGAGTATCGACTATGAAAGGTGGATAAAGAAAAAATACCCCCCAAAAAACGAAAACAAGATATTATTGCTAATTGGAACAGAAGTAGGGCACATGTGAATCAAAGGGAGATATCTTCTGTTTAGGGTTGAATCTCCTCTTTAAAATGACACCCTGATCATGTCATTACATTCACAGATGACTGAGCAGTGACCAATTTTATGAAAGGGTCTATTTAGAGAATTGCGCCACTTTTCAATTGTGGTTTTTGTGGTGTCATTTGTCACAGAGTAAAAGGCTATGGTTGCCAATCAAGACAGGCGGGGAAAAAACAGAGATTTAACCATGAAAATTGGCGCAATTCTCTAAATAGACCCTTTCATAAACTTGATCACTGCTCAGTCAACCGTGAATGTAAGGACATGATTAGTGTGTCATTTTAAAGAAGAGATTCAACCCTAACAGAGGATATCTCCCTTTGATTCACATGTGCCCTACTTCTGTTCCAATTAGCAATAATATCTCGGTTTCGGTTTTTTTATCCACCCTGTTTTATGGTGAAATCCTCTTTCAAAAATGACAGAACACCCGAAAGTGGCATACAGAATTGCACAATTATCGCAGTAGTAGCAAGGCAATATGACCTGTTTCCATAATACTTAAATAATATCACTGGAACTTGAAAACCAAAAAAAAGTTATTATATGCGGTAGATAGTACTTAAAATAAGCGTGGCTTATTTGCTAAATTAAATTGCTAGACGTCCGAAGCACAGTTAAAAACTACGTAACCTTAAAAAACAAATTCAAGAACGGAAATGTTAATTACTGCATGTAAAAGCACAATAAACATGTTACAGCCATAATATTGTTCAGACTTCTGTCTGAAATAAGACTTTTTGAATATGAGAGAAAGTTATAAGTTCAGAAAGAGATGCATTTTCCGACGTTTCGTCAATTTTCAGACTTACTTTGTGACGATCCCTTCCCTGGTTTTAAACTTCAATATTTTTGGTCCAAATGAGAAATTATAAGTGCCGAGTGTCGATTATTTTTTCACGCATTTTATCAGGACTTTAATTTGGAACATACAAATTCCACATTTCTTTTGATCATACCAGTCCAGTAGGTATTAGCAATCACAGGAAAATAACTTACGAATGACAAATAAATTTGTTGTTATTTAAAATTTTTGACAAAATCATGGGTTGTGGAAATACAGCCCACCTTGAACCACTTCCCGTGGCACTTGTGTGGCATATACCTATATTTTGGAAGAAAAAAAAGTCTTCATTTTAATTTACCCAGTGTAGCATAATTTTCAAATTATTTAGTGACTTGCGAATATTCTCTCCTTGGATTTTTGTCTGGAGCACATATCCTTTAGAGAGATCGGAAGCAAAGTTCACCAGTTTTGTAACAGACGGTACGGGTCAGGTCAATAACCCCGTCATTGTCGAGGATCTATCAGAAGGGTTTTCCTGTTCATTTGTCACGTAATCACGTGCCAGAGGAAAGCATGCCATAGTTCATGTATTAACATTAGAATGCAGTTGTGTCTATTATTGTCACACCATTTCAGCTTTGACGATTGTATTGGTTAACTTGTGTGAGTTAACAAAATTATTTTGTTGAATATTTAACTATTCAAAGTCTGAAGCAAAAAAACCCCCAAATTTGCCACAAAAAAGCAAAACAAAACAATAACCTGACTTCAGAGGACAGTGAAATCAGAGCATATAAAAAGCACCAACATACAATAACCAAGCCTCTCCATTTCCTATGCCTTTTGTGCTACCGCACAGTCATTGGGCTTTAAAAAAAAAAGAGTCAAGCAGACATCAGACGGACGTTCCAGCCAGACGGAATTGTGGGGTGATAGCATTGTGTTCCCATTATCCCTTTTTCTACAGATTCCCTTCTGGGGTGATGTTTTTCTATTGTGTAAAAAGTGGGGTGATGTGTCCTGAAAGGAACATCACCCCACAAGGGTGGTATGGTCAGAACGGACAGACAGACCGACGGACAGCCAGACAACATAGGATCCTTTACTATAGGATTATAAAACAGGACTGTAGACAATTGTATATCCAAGATGTGTGATCTGTAATACCAATGATTCCTTTTGTTTGTGATGCGTTTGACAGGCCTATCAGATCCGAATGTATGAGACATCCAAATGGGTCAGCACTACGATCACTGGCTTAGATTACCAAGCTGCTACTGAGGAGGCTTTCATGAAGCTATTTGAGTACATCGAAGGAGAAAATGACCAACGTGAGTCTCTAATGTAGGGTTGTATTATTTGTAAAGAGAGCATTTGACCGCAGTTGAAAAAAAAATCCTTTTCAGTGTTTTTTTTTGGGGGGGGGGGTGGATGGGGTGGGAGGGGATTGGACACCACCTAATCCCGAAATGTGTAATAAGGTAGGGATCAATGTTGAATATTATGTTGTGACTCTTTTTTATTTTCCTAAGTTGCACCAAAAGGTGAGTTTAGTTCAATGAAATTGTGATATATACATTGGTGACCCTCGCGAGTTAATCAAAGGTTGACAAACCATGGACAAATTGGGAATATTAAAAATTCCTTGAAGACATTTTTATTCTTTTAGGGTAACGGAAAGACGATGATTTGGCAATGTAGAAAGCAAACCAACGAATGGGTATTCACTATGCAGTTGTAAATGTTTTGGGTCGACTGCAGTCGAAATGTTTTTTAGTAGGAAGAAAACGGGTTCGGCAAAAACTTGTTCTGCATAATGTTCTCTCCTATGTGGAAGCCAATGCTTGGTATATAATACTCATGCATGAATGTCAGAGCAAAAGGGGATGTTTGCTACAGCCAATTAATGTTTTACATAGCGATGCTGGTTATCATAGTTCTTGAACTTTTACTAAGATTTGGTTTGTAGTTCTTACAAGTTGAGGACAAGTTCTGTTTGTGTGTGTGCCTATTCAGATGTTAAGATACCAATGACAGTGCCCGTGATCAACCGTATTCAGCCCGGCCTGGGGCCCGTCTGCGCAAGCAACTTCACCGTCTCGTTCTTTGTACCCTTCAAGTTCCAGAGCAACACGCCCAAGCCGACCAAAAAAGAACTCTTTATAAATACGCTGGGCCAGGAGAAGGTGTACGTCAGGTAGGGCATCAAAAGTTTCCTAAAAATATATATGTTGGTGTGTGGATATACAGAATTGGTTTGCTGCCCCCCCCCCCCCCCTCACCTCCAACATTGATTTGTCCCTTTTTTGTTTCCATGTTTGTGTGTGTACACACAGCACTTCTCTTGGAAATACAATATGATTAAAACAAACGTGAGCAAACATAGATTTCCGTGCAACCTAAGGGGAGACCTGGCCTTATAGTCGGGTGCATTAAATGCGGGAGAGATCTAGGTAAGGGAACTGTCCCAAAACCCCATTGAAATTTAGCCCACTATTTTTAAAAGATGTGCCCTTGTTTTGGAAAAGCTGAAAAGCGAGACGGAAAACCACTATCAGTTTTCAGCGGTTGCACTTGCAGTCCCGAGTCGGAATGCAATCAATATAGTTCAGGGTTTTTAAAATTGCAGATAACATAAATGATAAACCCACCTACTTCACTGCCAGCGATTTTTATTTTGTCCATGATGAACTTTGTAAACACCGTCTTGAAATTTACAGATATGCTGTCTTCTTGTGTTTCCCGTTTATTTTCCAGAGTGTACCATGGCTTCACTAACCAGACCAACTTCCCCAAAGAAGCCGCAGACCTAGGAGACGTGCTGAATTCCACCCAGACCTACGACAAGTCCTACTACTACACGGCTGGCTATGACAGCCCCTTTGTCAGCCACGACAGGCACAATGAGATTTGGTTTATTGCCACTGATAAGTAAAGGCTAAGGCTTAGGCTAGCTGGCATGAGGCTTGTGCGTCAAAAGTCAAACCACCCTTTCACCTCAGATGGTGATCCAGCAAGAGTTATTTGAGACAAGCAAATCATATTATTTTTTTTTCGATCTAATTTGGGATAGGTGGTAATAATTGAATAGTAACTCTCTGAATTTCTTTAACCACGAAGAGATGGCCTTTTCATTTCTGATTTTGCGGAAAATGAAGTGCCTGCTATCAATATTTTCTCAATATGTCGAGTTGTAAATTATCTTGTTTCATGCTATTGTTTTGAATTTCCCTTACTAAAATATGCAAAAAAGCATACACCACTGTGTAAAGTGGAGCCAATGCCTAATTTTGTTTTGAAAACAGTGAAATAAATCCTGTACCGAATTTTACTAAGTTTGACACTTTGCAATGCAGGTTAATCAGTGATTGTTGGACTAGTCTAGTCAACTATTCTGTGTGACAGGTCAACATAGAAAGAATCCTTTCGATGGTCAGCCCACAGTATTGTGTTATTTACGCAGGAATCCTAGATTCTCCTTAATAGTTCTGCTTTGGTATTTTCGTAGTGCCTTACCCCACTTATAAGTGGTCCTATGTGCTTTAGCTTGAATTGAAAGCCGTTGCTGTAGAATCGAAATATTAAGATGATAGAGGACACATTTTTTTGTATACATGTATGTCGAAATAAGTTCATTGCATGAAATGCATATTTTTGTAAGCATTATTTCTGAAATCCATTGCTTTGGTGTTTCTTTCAGTGTAAAGGTTAGCTATTTTGTATTTGGGAAAAGAAATGTTACTGAATTATTAATATTTTGTTACAGCTCTTTGCACTCAACCCTAATTGGGAAAAAAACACGTACATTTGTCTGGAATATTTATTAATTTTTTCCCAACATCATGTTTTGTGACAACATTACTTTTCATTTATAAAACAAATCTTACTTTTAATCAAAACAAGGCAGCCTTGTTTGGCTTTCAGTATTAAAACTTGTGTATTTGGATAATGTTAAAATGGAAAACATGCAATAATCTCCGATGTCATCCATTAAGCAATTCTCATGAAATATAATGTCAATTTCTTTCCTTGTTCGCATCTTATTCAGGGGCGTACCACGGTAATTTTTATGGGGGGGGGGGTTAAAAAGTTTTGAAAAGGGCACTTGCATATCCGTTGTGAAATGTAAAATAAAAAAAGGTGGGGTACCATCTGTCGATTGGGGCGCTGTTCAAAACCGACAATTATGCACACAAAGGGCAAATACATGTATATGGTGCTTTTCAGGGCGATACATGTGCAAAATTCTGAAAAAGGCACCCAAAACGGCAGATGCCACAAAAAAAGGGCACCACTTCTTTTTTGAAAAGGGCACTTGCTCAGAAAAAAAGGCACTTCGTAAAAAAAGGTACGCTTTAAAAATTATTGGAGGGGGGGAGGGGTAAGCCCGTTGAAAAAAGGGCATTTGAATGGAAAAGGGCAGTCTTAAGAAAATATTGGGAGGGTAAATACCCCCTTATCCCCCCCCCCCCCCTCCTCCCGGCTACGCCTATGTTATTTGGTACTCTTAACACATCCTGTTATATAGGTCCATGACAAAAACATTTGGGGAAGGGTTTTTTCCCAGAATCATTTTGAAATAATTCACAATGGAACACCAGAATGTTATATTTTCTGACTCTGAATTTAAGCTAAATTATTTCATTATTGTTGACAAATATACTTTAAAAATAATTCTTATAAAAGACATGTATACAGGTTTATACAGGTTTACAAAGACAATGTGGCGCAGGATAATGTGTGATTAAAATATAATCGGAAAGAATGTAGTATCCAGACGCCACTTCAGTGGTTGTGTCAAGAGAGAGTCAAGAAAAGTATTTTCTAACAAAAATAGAAATATTTGTCAGTCTCAAATTCACGTCTTTTAAACATTTTTGCAATGACTGACCTTTATTGAGTTGATATATGACGAAAAAGTGTTGTCCGGTTGCAACATTCTTTCCATAAATCTCTGGGCGACAGTAAGACATCGTGTACGAAAGTATTGGATTTCAACAAATCAATCTTATGTATTGATATGTTTTGGTACGCGGTGGACTATTCGGCTTCTTAAAGATTCGCCAATGGTGCCCCAAGTCATGCGCCGACGTTAGCCGCACGCCTGCATGCATTCACCCTCTGGTGTAAGCCGCGTTGCTGTTCGCTCTCTTTGTCCCGGATAGATGTACAATTGTACTGGGGAGTACATGTATACAGCTCGATGCTGCCATTTTTTCGGCGCAAAGCAGCAAAATCAACCACACTATTCATCTCTGCCCTCACAGGTACCCATTTACTCCTGGGTGGAGAGAAGCAATGAATGACAAAGTGCCTTGCTCAAGGGCACACACACCATGACCCCAGGCTGGACTCGAACCCACAACCTGCAGCTTTACCCACAGACCACGAATCCAATGCCCTTAACCACGAGGCCACAGCACTCCATCAATATAGCCTACCTCTGTTTTGTCAACCTAACTCCTCAAGTACTGGAAGAGTTATCAGAGGGCCGGAATGTGAGGGCTTTGCAACTCGTGCTCCTTGATGTAACAACTGTGACCAACACCAGTTATGTAAAGGTAACACGTGAATTTATGCAACGGTGGTACACCACTGAATAAGTAGAAGTATTTCTTCATAAAGATAATACTCCTTTTAGCCCTTATATCGGCTTGAGAACCGATCGCCGCCCTGACCTTCGAATTTGGTCCATGTACACTTTTCTGGATCAGGCTGCATCGATCAACTATTTCGGTTTTCGGATTTTCGTCTATTCCCGCGAATATTATCCACAAACCCGACGATACTACAGGAACGATTTGTGCCACACCCGTTTGACATATCCGTTAAGAGTATCCATGCATAGTTCGTGCTACAACGCAGTTTACACCAGACGGTTTCAGGCGCACACATTGTGTGCGGTTTGCATCTGCCCATTACGTGAAGCACCATTAACGAATAATTTTCCGCCGCGCAAAAGCAGCTGAACAATCCTCCTAACATTGAATATTTAGAAAAGGTAAAGCACTGAATCTATAATTTAAAAAATATTTTAATGAACCACAACGGGAAACTGACTAGTTGTATTATACTTTGCTTTTCAAAGTTGAACAAAGAAATTGACTGGAGCGGGTTTTGAACCTGCAACCTCCAGTTTGCCGTTCCGATGCTCTACCAACTGAGCTATCCAACCGTGTGTCGGCGGTTCCCCATTTTATCAATGTCTTTGTTCAAGGCGCGCTAGTCAGAAGCCATAAATCCGTATATGCCACGTAGCCAGGGATCAGGTCCAAAGTCACAATGCTGCAAACCTGGGAAATAGCAAACGGCTATCACTCAAAGGGAATACGGCTTTCATTATAAAAATAAAACAACGTAACGTTAATATTAGCTGCATTATTTACCATATTCATATATAATTCCATTACTTAGGCCTAATTACAATTTAGAAGTTCGCTACTTTTATATATCAGCTGCGTTTATAATAGGCAACTGTGATCTGTCATCTACTTCCTATCGAAAACCATTATATAATTAACACTCACAAAACAACGGCGGCATTTAGTCAAAATAAACGACATGCCTACACTGTAAAAATATGCCACACTTGATACTAGCAGTTTTGAGCATAAAGCTGCTTCATTAAAGTTGTTTGCATAGTTCATATTTTCTCCTGACGTAATACTTTAATTAACGGTATCGCCCTGCTTAATTCTTCGTTAAAAATACGATATTAATTATAGTAAATATTTCAGCAACGTACACTAGGCTCATTCTGTGGTGATTCTTGGAGATAATGTTTGCTCTCACTATGTACATCGTAAAACAAATCTTTTAAGAATATAATGTTATAAAAAGAAAATTACTTGAAAATACCTCTCTCTACATAGAGGTAGTTTTAACTAAACTTATTTCACATTTTTCCCACGCCTCAAACGAGTAGTCCTGATGTTTAGTAATTGAAGCGATTCCGTCGGGAGCGACGAGCCGCCGCTCGGGCATCCTCTGCGTCTTCATTCACCTGAAAAAATATAACGGTAAGCATGGTGTATCATCTCTTGCTGCAAACTTTACCAAATCATTAGGTTCATAATAGATACGATAGCCTATCATTGACACCATGGGTTGTCATTTAGTATGATTTATAAGCCCACTCGACTTTTCGAATTTAAAGGATACAACAGGGTCGTAGCCAACCTGGTGGAAGGGGGGGGGGGGTTTCGGGTTTTTTTACCATTACGTGGATCTTCTAATGTGCAATAAACTGTTGATTATACAAGGAAATACATATTTTACCGTGAAGTGAACCTCTTCACCATTAAGTGGACCTTTTGATATGTATAACACAGTTGATTACGCATGGAAATGCTCCGTCGCGAGGATAAAAGTACGCATGCGGCCGATTGGGGGACCCCCTACGGCCCTGTACTACGAAAATGGTGTAAATATAATACTTGAAAAACAAAATCGACTGAAGAAAGTCCACCTGTTCAACTTTATTTCAGACGGTGCATTTCCCTTGCAGTGTAGCTCGCATAAAAACACCAAACGTTTGATAAATATTTGATAATAATATACAAAATGTTTGATAATATTTCAATATGCCAAGTAATAATTTAGCTTACCCATCGTTGATCATAGTGGAGAGCCTCCATGCCGGTTGCCACGTACGGCCTTGCGAACTCCGAGTGAAGACTCTGCACAAAGGTAAGCAACAACATCAGCAATTAAAGTTGATTTCGGTTTATGTTGATGAAAGTGTTAGCTAATCATATCTACAGCCGTTTTAAAACCCACAACACAATTAATGTTCACCCCCATATTTTGATGGATGAACCACAACAGAATCTAATACAAAATCGAACGTTCAAACGCTCTCCCAAACTACAAATATTGACAACCAAGAAGTTCACTTTGAAAACATCCCATTATGCCAGAGAGTTATACAGTAAGGCACCGACCTGCTGCATGTAGGGGGACCGCGCCAAAACCTGGGCCAGGTGTCCCATCCGCCGGTCGTCCAAATCCGACCCATTGTAGGCGCTGCCGGTAGCCACAGAGCGCGAATCGTACTCATCCAGGCTGAGGCTACGCCTACGGCCGAAGGCCATACGGCGCTGGTACTTGTTGAAAGCGCGCCGTCTCCAGTCATCGCGCTGGCGTCGACGGAGCAGGATGCAGCAGCACATGGCGATGCCGAAGAACGTGAGAATGAGTGCTACCACGCCCAGCATGATGAGCACGATTGCTACAGTGGGCACTGTATGAAAAAAAACAGGAAAAAGTGCAATGAAAAACGGGAATCGATCTGTATCACTTATTTCCGCCATGATCACATCTTGAACTTTACACGTTAATTCACAGTAGTTTAATCGACAATGTAACTCCTTTGCTTTTATTTATCTTAACTTATTAATAACTGTAAAAAAAAACTTCAGCAAATCTGCTTCCTTTTTTTTCTGGTCATTTTGAAGATGCGAATGTGAAAATAAAAGTGCAGATGAACTAAATTGAAATCTTCATATTGCAGGAACAGCGAGGATGCATTTGCAAAACGGACTTTGACGTTACTTCGCTATAATAAGCTAGCACAAAATCCTGCAATGTCAACCTCTATTTCATCCTATTCATAGATCACTTCTGTCTTTCCCTATACCATGCACAGGATCAATCCTGATAATATGTGTCGTGTATGGAGCGTTAGCTAGAATCAATGTCAAACTTCTAATAGCTCACATGGTGCCGCTGTCGTTGAGACCTGCACAGTTGTCGTTTCTGTGGTGAATTCCACGATTTCCGATTCACATTGAAGACCTGTGTATCCAGTTGCACAACTGCGAAAAGAGATAGAAAAACATTATAACAATAAATTACAAACGAGTATACTTTATTTATTATTATTATTATTATTATTATTATTATTATTATTTATTCGGCCAAATTACAAGATACAAGCAATCCACAAAAATAAACAAAAATAAACAAAAACAATCCAATCCAAGCTGGCCAGGATTGACAAAGTATAATAAAACACTGTGACTCGAAAGCCTGTCAATCCTAACTTGAATGGTACATGTAAAAATACAATAAAACATAGATACACAGTTCAATGAAATATAAGACCGCCTTAAAATTAAAACTTTAAAAGATTATTAGATTAAAAGGATTAACACTTAAAACACTGACAGAAGTACTGATACTTCTCCGTAAAATACCAGCTTTGTTTCCCCCAAGACAACAGCAGTCTTTAAGATTTGAATACAATAATCAGAACTGAAAACCTTTCCAAATAATTTCCGGCCAAAGTAAAAGCGTAGAATCAGTCCAATTAGGCCTACCTGCAGGTGTATATGAACTGTGGATACTGGCCAGTGACGTTACACGTCCCTCCATTCTGACAATAGTCTGTTGCACATGCTGTGGTTGATACTAGGAATTCAAAAGTCAGAGTTAAAAAGTAAGTTAATTGTTTGTTACTTTTCAATCGAAAGAACACTCTTTAATAATAGACATAATTTCCAGCGCCTTGAGTACCTAATTGTTGGTAGATACGTGTGCTATATAAGACTCCAGTATTGTTATTATTTTATATAAATTATGAAGACCTTTGCATATAGCGGCTATTGTGCAGGATTTATTTTTTACTTATTTTAATTTTTTTTAATTCCGTACCAATGAATGTGAACAAAAGGCCGGCTGTACAATGTAATGATAACAATGCAAAAGGTGTAAATTCATCAGAACTGGGCAGCAAACTAATGAGAACGTTCGTTTGGTTTGAAGTTAGAGCCCGAAACGTAGGGGGGGGGGGGGGGGTTGTGTTGGGGGTCGTCAGTGACACCACGAAGTAACACTGACGTGGATTTGAGTGCTCGCTACGCGCGCGCATTTTACAGAACCGAGCGATTTTCGTTTTCACGAAGTAACACTCATGTACACTGTGCGCTGAATCGGTCATTTTTGTTTTCACGAAGTAACACTCATCTTTATTTCACCAGTTTTAAGGCTTTTTATTAAAATTGTCTGTAATCCTACAAATAATAGGTATTAATTACATTCCTGTCAAACATTTGAAAACGCTTTAATCCAAATAGTATGAAAACGAAAATCGTTCCCGCCAGTGTCCGATGTGCGCGCGCACACTTGAGTGTCACTTCGTGTAAACAAGATTTGTCATTTGGCGGTTTTCACGAAGTAACACTGAATTGGACTTGGGTGTTACTTCGTGGTGTCGGTGACAAATCTTACCAAATGCGGTTGTTGTGTTGACTACGTTCAGTGTGGTTTGTCCATCGTTAAGAACCTGGCCCTCGTTTATGTCACCGTTTATAACCTCCATGACCATGTCGGCGGTGACGTTGGAGTTGGTCGATGTCGTCACAACGGCGTTGACAATGACGCTCCCACGCGCCACAGAGACACCGATGACAGAAATGACATTAGAAGTCAGCGGATCGAGTAAAAGGTGCCGAAGCATCTGTAAATGAGAGATGAAAATAGCATTGGCGTCAAGCAGCTCAGTCTTGTTTGCCATTGAAAGAAAACCAAACAAAAAGCTAAACAGTTACTTAAACGTTTTCTTTTTATAAAGACTACCCTAATTGCCCAATCTGTTGTCCTCTTAAGCTTCTAATTCTTCAACCTGCGCACTGCTTGCACGTCTGTTTGGCTTTTTGAAAAACAATTTTGTAAAAGGTGATACTGGCTAAAACCGATAGAGAGGTCTTGAACACACTTGTATCTCCACATATTGTGTCTCACGATAGTCTTAAAAGGTTCTTTACTGACTGATTTCTCTAGTTCTTGTTACTGTTATTTTAGTTGCACGTACGGAAGAAGCACGCTCTGGCTTTTTCCGATTGCCACATTTACCGTATATTTCCTTGTCAAGTATCTTGACAGAAGTAGGTATTTTGACCGATATTCATTGCCATCATGCCGACACTAAATGCCTGGGAAGTTTCAGTGTTCTATTCAAATCTGAAGTGTGAAAGAAAGAACTCCACATCGGATCCCGAACAGACACAAACTTGCTGCACTTGCACACAGTGTTATTCTTGAACTAAAGCTAAAATTTGTGATGTTGGTGGACTCCAATCTGGAACGGCAGAAGGCCACCAAAATGTAGAGAACATTCAGAATTTTTGAGCCCGTAGCATTTAACGCACTCTAGAACTGGCGTTCATGACCGAATCTGTTAGATTTATCTTTGTTTTCCATTGTGGTGTGTCTCATCTCGAAGCCTAGCTCTATGCTAAAAGTAATAAGTAGGCCTAGGAGCTGTTGGACCTACATGACACGATTCTGCACTTACCGCATCAGTCACAATTTTGAGAAAGGCTCTGGTGGCTGCTGCATTGGGATCATTGTAGACGTCGAGGAAAACGACTGCAGTCCCGTTCACTCCCAGCACACGCATCACTACTGTGATTGTACTCACGGCTGAAAAAAATGGGAGGTTAAAAAATAAGCATAGAATATGGTTTATAACCTCTCCTAGTATAACTTTGTTTATAGGGCCATTGCAATTTTCGAGTAATGATGAAATTACACTATTCCCCCTCTCTCCATATTTATTTAATTATTTTTTATTTTATTTATTGTTTATCCTGGGTAGACCTTTTAGTAGAACACTGTTTTTCAAAGGTGCCCAGCAGTTACAACAAGCATACGATAGTATAAAAAATAGAAAAACAAGCAAAAAAAACATTACAAAGATATAATTAAGAAGATTAATAAACAGTAAATTGAGACAAGGTTAATCACGGTTGTTACATTGGCAGTAAAAAGACAAAAACAAGACATACATGTACCATATAATATTAAACTATCAGGTTCGTGTAGAGGCGCTTAAAACTGGCAAGAGTGGGAGGCAATGGATGTTTAAGTGTCGCAGGGAGGTTGTTGAAAGAATTAATTCCACGAGACGCAAATTTACGTTTTCCTGCGTTAGATTTGGATAACGAAGGAACATTTGATAGCGCCTGAGGGACCACCGACTTGATGTACACTCCGCTGTATTAACATAAATTCAGTTGTGTGTATCCTGATATGCCTCGTTCTTAATTTGCAGTCACTAAATGCAAATCCCGGGACCAAACCCAACAATGCACTTGACATCCCAAGATGTTTCCCTTGTATTCCCCTCCCCCCCAAAAAAAAACCCAACCCCACCTGCTTCAAGGTTACAGGAATCATAAAAGTGATAACAGAATCACAAACACGGTCCTATAATTGTTTAAATTAACACCATCGATCCTCCTGCTCCTACTATCATATTGCTTATACCATTTTGGGAATAACCCTGCTAAATCGCTTCCCAAAAGTGAAACTTTACCCAATTGTGGACCATAGGTCCTATTGTTCTCTATTGTTATAGGTTACTGCTGAACGCGTTTATATTAATAAAAACAAAATGGATGGACCCACCCGTGTTACTGCAGACTCCGTTGGTACTGGTTAGGACATATCCATCTAAGGCGCGACACTCACATGTGTAGCCGTCAGCATTTGTAGTATCTCTGACGCAGTACTCGCCTTCGCCCGAGCAAAGGGTTGGCGTAGTCACACATGGGTCCGGCTCTGTACCAACAGATATAACCATTGCAAGGACTCAGTAAGCTGTCATTGATTTTGCAGTATTTTTGCAATTGGTTAATGAGTAGTTTATACTTAAACCCCTCTCTTTCATCTTCATCCCGTGCCAATTCTTGGTATTCGTGTGTTTACGGTAACCTGATCTACCAGGATTTTTCAAGCAAAATTGGCGGCCTCCACATATTTGGCCATATTTGGCCAATGGGCCAATAATAATAAAAAAGTATACTTTGAACTTGTTTGGTGTCTAATTGGCAAATTAAACAAACAAGTTAACTGAACGGATGAATAATAAAAGACAGACTAATATCAACAAAAAAAGTACAAAATATAATTATTTTCCTATCCTGGAATTTTGTTATGGCGTTACCGTAAATACACAATTTTGATTGGCCTTACTGTTATATCATCGTGTTGTCTTCAACAACATCCATACCAACACTACATCAACGTGGAAAGAAGCCTCACTAAAAATTGGTAATTCTGACATACTCATCTTCTACCCTGATAACCAGTTGTGAACTCAAAATGAAGGTTGGGGTATAGCCTATCGCCGTATCTGTTGAATGAGCTGCCTGCTCATCCGACAAGGACCTTGTCGTTTTCTGTGTTAAAGGCCTCGTTAAAAGTTTCTTATTCCCGGAATCTAGTTGATCTTTTTTTCAATGAGTATTTCAAGTTATATTTGTAAAAGTTTCTGTTGGAGTGTGTCCGCGTGCATACCTGTTTTGGTCTTGGTACTCAGTGTAAAGGAGATATGCTTGTTAAAAAAACCCTGTATAAATGCTTAATCATAATTATTGTTGTCAATTGTTTTTAAATCTCACCTTCGCACGTAACACCTGACATTCCATTAGGGCAAACGCACTCACAATTGACCGCATCAAACGTGGCCCCGTTTAAACAGGAGGTGCTTGTCAGCGGACAATCTGTAAAGTCAAAATAAAACCCGTGATATTTCGAATTCCCTCAGTTTAGTTAATTCAAGTCTTTTGTGACTTTAAAATAATTTCTGGTAATATATGTGACGTCAAAATTGAAAACTCCAAGCGGTCTAAACAGATTTTTATACGCAGTTACCATATTTTACAGGTTATGTTATAGAGAACATGGAGAGGAATCTCATGGCAACATTCCGATCAATAGTTTATATTCTAAGTTCTCTTTCTTAATGCCACGACATATTGTTACCTTTTGTCAGAAACGGTATCTTTATCGAGATATAAACTGCTCAAGATTTTTGAGTACTTTTTGGAATCATTTAGAGAACCTTCAAGTTTACACAAAAAAATTTCAGTAAACGCTCTATAGGAAGGGTCGACCTTTTTTCAGGGTTTCTTGGAAGCAAGCGTCATTTTATAAACAGTAAAAAGGAAAAGTGGACACAGGTGCGTCATTTGAGAAGTTTTCAAGTTCACTTGGATTCCACTTAAGGCCTATGGTCGGTGTGTTCTTGCAAGTACTCTTACTCGAGCAGGTCGTTCCATTGAAGGCCTGTGCGCAGTTGCAGACGCAGCTTTGGGCGTCTAGAGTCCCTCCATTCAAACAGCTCAGCGAACAGCCTAAAACATGGAAACAATGTAAAAATAGATTAAATTATGGGTCGAGACATATCTTCTGGATGTGAAAAAGGAAGTTAGATTCTGTTGCAATGCTTGTAATTTTTTTAATAGGTTTCCCGCAGTCGGATATTATTATGTTTTTTTTTCGAGTTTGGATTAATCAATCCTTTGGTGACGAAATCGCGTAAAGTTATCTCACCTGTGTTTGTACATGTAACAAGGGACGTTCCCAAAGGGCACTCTGTCGGGGAAAACAGAGATTATATTTCCAATTTACTTTGCTTTTTCTGTTCGTCTCCTGGAAATTATAACTAAAATTGTGGGCTGGGCTTTCAGTCCTTACATGATTTTGGGGGCTTTAGCCGGAAATACAGTTCATGGGTTTTCTTTTCACCTCTGAAAAGGCATAATTACCCCCTCTATCTTGTGTTCCTATTCATCCTTCGGTTAAGAAAGCATGTGAACGGTTAAGTAACCGTTGTTTATTCCATTACTGGAGAAAACTTAATACAAAGTCATATTTTAATTGAACATTTGGAAATTGATAAAGCATTAACTTTCGCCTGAGATATTTGTTTCTATATCACTGGATAAAGTCATCGCATAATACATAAAACTGCGAACGTCATATTTAGAACTTTCTAAATACATTTGCGTTGTATAACCCTCATTTAAAAGAGAACATTCGAATAGGCCTGCATGTACGTGCATGTAGGACTACTTTGTTTTTAAAAATTACACGATAGAAAAAAATTAAAATGTTCTGGATTACAGAGCCAATATACTGTATTATCTGCCAGCTTTTACCATAGCCTACATTAATGTCGATTGCGCTAGCCAATAACTAATTCTGCAAATTTAACTAAGAATTGAATAAAAGCACGAAACGTTTCTAGCAAAACTATTTGTCGTTTCACTGAATTAACTAGAACGGATCACAGTAACTACTTTCAAAATTCCATTCAATGATAAAGAGACTTATCGTTTTAACGATGGTACTACAGCCCACTTTGTTTCCCAAAAAGCGCAAGACTAACAAAAGCAAGAATATATCATGCAAATCATTTGCTTAATATACTTTTAGAGTTGCGTTAGCTTTTTTTGTTTAACTAAACAGTTTTTTGCCAAACAGCACACATGTTCCACTTGAAGAAACAGATGTTTCGCTCCATCGTTAGCCAAACTCTCACACTACACTACACTACACTTCAACCAACGTTGTTTCCAAACAAACAAATATACGCGGTAGCAATCGGCAGCCAAGACACACCAACGGCTAGAGCATCAATTCGTTAACATTATTTAACATAATCTATATAATTACGGCAAGTCAAACAAAAACTCGGTTTAGGAAGCACTTAAAAGCGATTTTGAAAACCTTATCTACTTAATTCCAGTCAAAGCAGAAGCAATAAAACGTAAAATAAGCGCAGCCACTAAAAACTCGCAGCCTAAAATGCCGCAGCAGAATGCTTCACGATCAGCATCCAAATAACACTGCACATGTGCCTTACCGGGGACTGTTGTTGGTTCGGTAGTTGGGTCCATCGTTGTGGTTATCGGTTGCTGTGTAGTTGTTTGTTCAAGTGTGGTTGTTGGTACAGATGTGGCTATAATTACAGGTGTGTTTGTTATTGCAGAAGTGCTTGTAAGTTCTGGGGTGGTTGTGGCTAAAGGTGTTGTTTGTTCAGTTATGGTCGTTGATCCCTGTGTGGTTGTTGGTCCATCTGTGTTTGTTGGTCCCTGTGTAGTTGTAGGTGCTGCTGTATTTGTTGGTCCTTGTGTAATTGTTGGTGCATCTGTGTTTGTTGGTCCCTGTGTGGTTGTTGGTCCATCTGTGTTTGTTGATCCCTGTGTGGTTGTTGGCCCATCTGTGTTTGTTGATCCCTGTGTGGTTGTTGTTGCGGCTGTGGTTGTTGGTACTGATGTGGTTGTTGGTTCAATTGTAGTTGTTGGTTCTGGCGTAGTTGTTGGTCCAGCTGTTGTTTGTGCAGCTGTACCTGTTGCAGCCGCTACCGTTGTCTGTGCAGCAGTTGTTTGTTCAGCTGTATTTATTAAAGGTGTGTTTGTTATTACAGAAGTGGTTGTAAGTTCTGGGGTGGTTGTGGCTAAAGGTGTTGTTTGTTCAGTTACGGTCGTTGATCCCTGAGTGGTAGTTGGTGCATCTGTGTTTGTTGGTCCCTGTGTGGTTGTTGGTGCATTTGTGTTTGTTGGCCCCTGTGTGGTTGTTGGTGCATCTGTGTTTGTTGGACCCTGTGTGGTTGTTGGTCCATCGGTGTTTGTTGGTCCCTGTGTGGTAGTTGGTGCATCTGTGTTTGTTGGTCCCTGTGTGGTAGTTGGTGCATCTGTGGTCGTTGGTCCATGTGTGGTTGTTGGTGCATCTGTGTTTGTTGGACCCTGTGTGGTTGTTGGTGCATCTGTGTTTGTTGGACCCTGTGTGGTTGTTGGTGCATCTGTGTTTGTTGGTCCCTGTGTGGTTGTTGGTGCATCTGTGTTTGTTGGTCCCTGTGTGGTTGTTGGTGCATCTGTGTTTGTTGGTTCCTGTCCGGTAGTTGGTGCATCTGTGTTTGTTGGTCCCTGTGTGGTAGTTGATGCATCTGTGTTTGTTGGTCCCTGTGTGGTTGTTGGTACATCTGTGTTAGTTGATCCCTGTGTGGTTGTTGGTGCATCTGTGTTTGTTGGTTCCTGTGTGGTTGTTGGTGCATCTGTGTTTGTTGGTCCCTGTGTGGTTGTTAGTGCATCTGTGTTTGTTGGTCCATGTGTGGTAGTTGATGCATCTGTGTTTGTTGGTCCCTGTGTGGTTGTTGGTACATCTGTGTTAGTTGATCCCTGTGTGGTTGTTGGTGCATCTGTGTTTGTTGGTTCCTGTGTGGTTGTTGGTGCATCTGTGTTTGTTGGTCCCTGTGTGGTTGTTGGTTCAGGTGTAGTTGCTGGTCCCTGTGTGGTTGTTGGTTCAGGTGTAGTTGTTGGTCCCTGTGTGGTTGTTGGTGCATCAGTGTTTGTTGGTCCCTGTGTGGTTGTTGGTGCATCTGTGTTTGTTGGTCCCTGTGTGGTTGTTGGTGCATCTGTGTTTGTTGGACCCTGTATGGTTGTTGGTATATCGGTGTTTGTTGGACCCTGTGTGGTAGTTGGTGCATCTGTGTTTGTTGGTCCCTGTGTGGTTGTTGGTGCATCTGTGTTTGTTGGTCTCTGTGTGGTTGTTGGTCCATCTGTGTTTGTTGGTCCCAGTGTGGTTGTTGGTCCATCTGTGCTGGTTGGTCCAGCCGTGGTTGTTGGTACATCTGTGTTAGTTGATCCCTGTGTGGTTGTTGGTGCATCTGTGTTTGTTGGTTCCTGTGTGGTTGTTGGTGCATCTGTGTTTGTTGGTCCCTGTGTGGTTGTTGGTTCAGGTGTAGTTGCTGGTCCCTGTGTGGTTGTTTGTGCAGCTGTAGTTGTTGCAGCCGCTACCGTTGTCTGTGCAGCAGTTGTCTGTTCAACTGCAGTTGTTACTTCAATTGTGGTCGTTGGTCCCTGTGTGGTTGTTGGTCCTTCTGTGTTAGTTGATCCCTGTGTGGTTGTTGGTCCATCTGTGTTAGTTGATCCCTGTGTGGTTGTTGGTGCATCTGTGTTTGTTGGTCCCTGTGTGGTTGTTGGTGCATCGGTGTTTGTTGGTCCCTGTGTGGTTGTTGGTTCAGGTGTAGTTGCTGGTCCCTGTGTGATTGTTGGTTCAGGTGTAGTTGTTGGTCCCTGTGTGGTTGTTGGTGCATCTGTGTTTGTTGGTCCCTGTGTGGTTGTTGGTGCATCTGTGTTTGTTGGTCCCTGTGTGGTTGTTGGTGCATCTGTGTTTGTTGGTCCCTGTGTGGTTGTTGGTGCATATGTGTTTGTTGGTCCCTGTGTGGTTGTTGGTGCATCTGTGTTTGTTGGTCCCTGTGTGGTTGCTGGTTCAGGTGTAGTTGCTGGTCCCTGTGTGGTTGTTGGTTCAGGTGTAGTTGTTGGTCCCTGTGTGGTTGTTGGTGCATCTGTGTTTGTTGGTTCCTGTGTGGTTGTTGGTGCATCTGTGTTTGTTGGTCCCTGTGTGGTTGTTGGTGCATCTGTGTTTGTTGGTCCCTGTGTGGTTGTTGGTGCATCTGTGTTTGTTGGTCCCTGTGTTGTTGTTGGTGCATCTGTGTTTGTTGGTCCTTGTGTGGTTGCTGGTGCATCTGTGTTTGTTGGTCCCTGTGTGGTAGTTGGTGCATCTGTGTTTGTTGGTCCCTGGGTGGTTTGTGCTGGTGTAGTTGTTGGTTCAACAGTGGTTATTGGTTCAACAGTGGTTGTTGGTTCAACAGTGGTTGTTGGTACAGCAGTGGTTGTTGGTTTAGCAGTGGTTGTTGGTTCAACAGTGGTTGTTGGCTCAGGAGTGGTAGTTCGTTCAACAGTGGTTGTTGGATCTGCTGTGGTTATTGGTTCAAGCGTGGTTGTTGGTTCAGCTGTGGTTGTTGGTTGAGGTGTTGTTGGTTCGGGAATTGTTGTTGGTTCAGGTGATGTTGTTCGTTCAGCTGTGGTTGTTGGTTCAAGTGTGCTTGTGGGATCGGGTGTGGTTGTGGGCTCAGGTGTGGTTGTTGGTTCAACAGTGGTTGTTTTTGGTTCGGGCGTCGTTGTTGGTTCAGGTGTTGTCGGTTCAGCTGTGGTTGTTGGCTCAGGTGTGGTTGTGGGATCGGGTGTTGTTGTGGTTTCAAGTGTGGTTGTTGGTTCAACAGTGGTTGTTGATTCAGGTGTGGTTGTTGGTTCAGCAGTCGTTGTTGGTTCAACAGTGGTTGTTGGCTCAGGAGTGGTAGTTGGTTCAAGTGTTGTTGTTGGTTCTGGTGTGGTTGTTGGTTCAAGCGTGGTTGTCGGTTCAGCTGTGGTTGTTGGTTGAGGTGTTGTTGGTTCGGGAGTCGTTGTTGGTTCAGGTGCTGTTGTTGGTTCAGCTGGGGTTGTTGGCTCAAGTGTGCTTGTGTGATCGGGTGTGGTTGTGGGCTGAGGTGTGGTTGTTGGTTCAACAGTAATTGTTGGTTCAACAGTGGTTGTTGTTTCAACAGTGGTTGCTGGTTCAGGAGTGGTTGTTGGTTCATTTATGGTTGTTGGTTCAGGTGTGGTTGTTGGTTCTGCTGTGGTTGTTTGGCCTGGTGTAGTTGTTGGTTCTGGTGTGGTTGTTGGTTCAGTTGTAGTTGTTGGTTCAGGTGTTGTTGTGGGTTCGGGTGTGGTTGTTGGTTGAGGTGTTGTTGTTGGTTCGGGATTTGCTGTTGGTTCAGGTGTGGTTGTTGGCTCAGATGTTGTTGTGGGTTCGGGTGTGGTTGTTGGTTGAGGTGTTGTTGTTGGTTCGGGAGTTGTTGTTGGTTCAGTTGTAGTTGTTGGTTCAGGTGTTGTTGTGGGTTCGGGTGTGGTTGTTGGTTGAGGTGTTGTTGTTGGTTCGGGTGTTGTTGTGGTTTCAGGTGTGGTTGTTGGTTCAACAGTGGTTGTTGGTTCAGGTGTGGTTGTTGGTTCAGCAGTGGTTGTTGGTTCAACAGTGGTTGTTGGCTCAGGAGTGGTAGTTGGTTCAAGTGTTGTTGTTGGTTCTGGTGTGGTTGTTGGTTCAAGTGTGGTTGTTGGGTCAGGTGTGGTTGTTGGTTGAGGTGTTGTTGGTTCCGGAGTCGTTGTTGGTTCAGGTGTTGTTGTTGGTTCAGGTGTTGTTGTTGGTTCAGCTGTGGTTGTTGGCTCAGGAGTGGTCGTTGGATCGGGTGTGGTTGTTGGTTCAGGTGTGGTTGTTGGTTCAACAGTGGTTGTTGGTTGAGGTGTGGTTGTTGGTTCAATAGTGGTTGTTGGTTCAAGTGTGGTTGTTGGTTCAGCAGTAGTTGTTGGTTCAACAGTGGTTGTGGGCTCAGGAGTGGTCATTGGTTCAAGTGTTGTTGTTGGTTCTGGTGTGGTTGTTGGTTCAAGTGTGGTTGTTGGTTGAGGTGTGTTTGTTGGTTGAGGTGTTGTTGTTGGTTCGGGAGTCGTTGTTGGTTCAACAGTGGTTGTTGGCTCAGGAGTTGTAGTTGGCTCAGGTGTGGTTGTTGGATCGGGTGTGGTTGTGGGTTCAGGTGTGGTTGTTGGTTCAACAGTGGTTGTTGGCTCAGGTGTTGTTGTAAATTCGGGAGTCGTTGGTTCAGGTGTGGTTGTTGGTTCAGCTGTGGTTGTTGGCTCAGGTGTGGTTGTGGGATCGGGTTTGATTGTTGGTTCGGCTGTGGTTGTTGGTTCAGGTGTGGTTGTTGGTTCAGGTGTTGTTGTAGGTTCGGGAGTCGTTTTTGGTTGAGGTGTGGTTGTTGGTTCAGCTGTGGTTGTTGGCTCAGGTGTGGTTGTTGGATCGGGTGTGGTTGTGGGTTCAGGTGTGGTTGTTGGTTCAGCTGTGGTTGTTGGCTCAGGTGTGGTTGTTGGATCGGGTGTGGTTGTGGGATCAGGTGTGGTTGTTGGTTCAGCTGTGGTTGTTGGCTCAGGTGTGGTTGTGGGATCGGATGTGGTTGTTGGTTCAGGTGTGGTTGTTGGTTCAACAGTGGTTGTTGGTTTAGGTGTGGTTGTTGGTTCAGGTGTGGTTGTTGGTTCAGGTGTGGTTGTTTGTTCAACAGTGGTTGTTGGTTCAGGTGTGGTTGTTGGTTCGGCTGTGGTTGTTGGTTCAGGTGTGGTTGTTGGTTCAACAGTGGTTGTTGGTTTAGGTGTGGTTGTTGGTTCTGATGTGGTTGTTGGTTCAAGTGTGGTTGTTGTTTCTGGTGTGGTTGTTGGTTCGGGTGTGGTTGTTGGTTCAGGTGTGGTTGTTGTTTGTTTCGTGGTTGTTGGTTCGGGTGTGGTTGTTGGTTCGGGTGTAGTCGTTTGTTCAGGTGCGGTTGTTGGTATGGGTGTGGTTGTTGGTTCAGGTGTGGTTGTTGGTTCTGTTGTGGTTGTTGGTTCAGGTGTGGTTGTTGGTTCAGGTGTGGATGTAAGTTCAGTTGTAGTTGTTTGTTGTGCTGTAGTGGTTTGTTGAGCAGAAGATATTGGTTGTGTAGTAGTAGTAGTAGCTTCCGATGAAGTTGTTTCGTCGGTAGTTGCTAGGAATTGGGGATTAAACAAAGACGGACGGAATGTTACGCATTCTAGTTGCTTTAAGACTTGTTCAATTTCGTTTTGTCATTTAGGAGCTATATTGCTTATGCTTGCTTTGTCCAATGCGACAAAGGAAATACTGCAGTTCAAGAAGAGCAGATTGCAATAGAATTTTCGGTAGAATGTTAATTCCAGGCGTATCCTGTATTACCCTTCATCAGTTTTAATCGGAAAAACGGGTTATGAAATATCTACAATTTTTTTATCACGAAAACAACCGTCTTGTCATTTCGACTTGCATTTCAATAGACATATGCCTATAGCGACTTCCATCAGTGACCGCATGAAATATTTGGAATTCCTGGCATCCCGAACATTGAGTGAGAACTATCAGAAGCTGCTTACAGAAAAAAATGTTCTATGACAACATGTTTTTAATTATAAAATACAATAATACATAAAAGATAGTCGATGAACACTTGAATATTTGTCCCATTAACGAATATTTACACTGAACAGCCCAGCCACACAATTATTTGGTCAGGAATGAAATTCCAAGTAATGTTAAACTTTGTCGCTGTTTCAAGTTTACCATGAACAAGAGTTATTCATCTAGGACTTTGTTACACGTTAGAACAGAACAACATAAGAACTAGAACACTTATGAGACTCCCCAAAAAAGAAGAATACTGGAATAGCTGAACGACGAACAGCATCGTTCTGTATTACGTTAAACTGGATTCGATCTCACGTTAATAATAACTCGTTTGGGGTAAGAAAATTGAGATCTGACCAGACAAAATTATCGCTTTCTTGATGCGAGGCTTAATATACTATTTGAAACATTCAATCAGCATTCCGGAAATGGATAAAAGGACATTCAGATATTGTGAGGGTTCGATTCCCCTCAAAAACCCATCACTCGTAAAGCAGTCGATTGGTGTGTGTGTGTGTGTGTGTGTGGGGGGGGGGGGGGGGGGTGATACCCTTTTGGACATTTCCAATGCTCTCTGGATACAGGAAAGAATGGCATGGATTGTGATACTGAATATCATTGCTAAATAAACGTAAATTTTGCCTTTCATATTCATGAGCGACAGTTAAATTGATTTAACAAGCTTTACTCCGAATGTTTCAATCAATGTTCTCTTAACGTTGGATGTATTGCAATTAAAAAAATCGGAAAACATCAAATAATTCACGGTCCTTAGATTTACACATAAATTGTACCACTCGTTTATCACTCATACCCAGGATGGGATATTACCATCATGATGACCTTAGGCGAAAATGAGCCGAAAGTGGATGCAATGGAATTTCTGCTCATGGGTGACAACATTATTGATTGTCTTCTTCATGAGCCTACCAAACTGTGTAGGGGCGCTCCTATTTCAAAGTACATAGATTAAAACAATCCACTTTTCATCAGCGGTCTTGCTCACCCAGAGGATATGAAGGAGAAACGTTGCATTTGCTTGTTGGATTTTTCACCAATAAAAAAAATAAGGCTGATCCAGAGAAAAGACTTTATCTTACTCAAAATACCTGCTATCAGTAGATTATGCATTGTTATGCATCTTATTTTCAAATGCAGCAATTACTCTACAAAAGATTGCAAAAACTGGAAAAAAATCACTTCCTCTTTCCAAAAAAAGAGTAAGCCGCCAGCAAATTAGCTGACCGTCTCTCAACAACTTCTTAAACAATTCCTACGGTAACTATGCTTTTGGGCAAAAAGGCAGAAATGACGTATTGGAATTAACAGGGAATCTTAAACTTGATCACCAGTTTCAGATGTATTTATAAGTGGCCTTTACAAATATGTTTGTATGCAAAACAAAATAAGAAAATACACAATATAATTATTTTACTTTGAGTTGAAAAGCAAACGATGACCAAAGAAATTAACAACAAAGATTTCACACAAGAAAATAACAGAGTGCTTTCCAAATGTTTCAGAGGTAACAGCCTCATGCTGTTGCACTTTAAGTAATTGACGAATGCTCCTAACAGGAAATATCAAAAACAATCCAAATCAAATAAAAACTTACCAAGGGTTGACGCCACTGGTGTAGTAGTTGGCGGTATCGTCGTGACAAAGTGAGCTGTGGTCGTTGGTTCAGGTGTGGTTCTTGGTTCAGGTGTGGTTGTTGGTTCAGGTGTGGTTGTTGGTTCAGGTGTGGTTGTTGGTTCAACAGTAGTTGTTGGTTCAGGTGTTGTTGTTTGTTCTCGTGTTGTTGTTGGTTCTGGTGTGGTTGTTTGGTCTGGTGTAGTTGTTGGTTCAGCTGTGGTTGTTGGCTCAACAGTGGTTGTTGGTTCAACAGTGGTTGTTGGTTCAACAGTGGTTGTTGGTTCAGGTGTTGTTGGTTCTGGTGTTGTTGTTGTTTCTGGTGTTGTTGTTGGTTCTGGTGTGGTTGTTTGGTTTGGTGTAGTTGTTGGTTCAGGTGTGGTTGTTGGTTCAGGTGTGGTTGTTGGTTCAAGTGTTGTTGTGGGTTCGGGTCCAACAGTGGTTGTTGGTTCAAAAGTGGTTGTTGGTTTAACAGTGGTTGTTGGTTCAGAAGTGGTTGTTAGTTCAACAGTGGTTGTTGGTTCAACAGTGGTTGTTGGTTCAACAGTGGTTGTTGGCTCAGGTGTGGTTGTTGGTTCAACAGTGGTTGTTGGTTCAAAAGTGGTTGTTTGTTCAACAGTGGTTGTTGGTTCAACAGTGGTTGTTGGTTCAACAGTGGTTGTTGATTCAACAGTGGTTGTTGGTTCAACTGTGGTTGTTGGTTCAACAGTAGTTGTTGGTTCAACAGTGGTTGTTGGTTCGACAGTGGTTGTTGGTTCGACAGTGGTTGCTGGTTCAACAGTGGTTGTTGGTTCAACAGTGGTTGTTGGTTCAGGTGTGGTTGTTGGTTCAACAGTGGTTGTTGGTTCAGGTGTGGTTGTTGGTTCAACAGTGGTTGTTGATTCAACAGTGGTTGTTGTTTCAACAGTAGTTGTTTGTTCAACAGTGGTCGTTGGTTCAGGTGTGGTTGTTGGTTCAACAGTTGTTGTAGGTTCAACAGTGGTTGTTGGTTCAACAGTGGTTGTTGGTTCAACAGTGGTTGTTGGTTCAGGTGTGGTTGTTGGTGCAACAGTGGTTGTAGGTTCAACAGTGGTTGTTGGTTCAACAGTGGTTGTTGGTTCAACAGTGGTTGTTGGTTCAGGTGTGGTTGTTGGTTCAACAGTGGTTGTTGGTTCAACAGTGGTTGTTGGTTCAGGTGTGGTTGTTGGTTCAACAGTGGTTGTTGATTCAACAGTGGTTGTTGGTTCAACAGTGGTTGTTGGTTCAACAGTGGTTGTTGGTTCAACAGTGGTTGTTGGTTCAACAGTGGTTGTTTGTTCAACAGTGGTTGTTGGTTCAGGTGTGGTTGTTGGTTCAGGTGTGGTTGTTGGTTCAGGTGTGGTTGTTGGTCGAAGAGTGGTTGTTGGTTCAACAGTGGTTGTTGGTTCAGTTGTGGTTGTTGGTTCAGGTGTGGTTGTTGGTTCAAGAGTGGTTGTTGGTTCAACAGTGGTTGTTGGTTCAACAGTTGTTGTTGGTACAGGAGTGGTTGTTGGTTCAACAGTGGTTGTTGGTTCAACAGTTGTTGTTGGTACAGGTGTGGTTGTAGGTTCAACAGTGGTTGTTGGTTCAAGAGTGGTTGTTGGTTCAACAGTGGTTGTTGGTTCAACAGTGGTTGTTGGTTCAACTGTGGTTGTTGGTTCAACAGTAGTTGTTGGTTCAACACTGGTTGTTGGTTCAACAGTAGTTGTTGGTTCAACAGTGGTTGTTGGTTCAACAGTGGTTGTTGGTTCAACAGTGGTTGTTGGTTCAACAGTGGTTGTTGGTTCAACAGTGGTTGTTGGTTCAGGTGTGGTTGTTGGTTCAACAGTGGTTGTTGATTCAACAGTGGTTGTTGGTTGAACAGTAGTTGTTGGTTGAAGTGTGGTTGTTGGTTCAGCAGTGGTTGTTGGTTCAACAGTGGTTGTTGATTCAACAGTGGTTGTTGGTTCAACAGTGGTTGTTGGTTCAGCAGTGGTTGTTGGTTCAACAGTGGTTGTTGATTCAACAGTGGTTGTTGGTTCAGCAGTGGTTGTTGGTTCAACAGTGGTTGTTGATTCAACAGTGGTTGTTGATTCAACAGTAGTTGTTTGTTCAACAGTGGTTGTTGGTTCAGGTGTGGTTGTTGGTTCAACAGTGGTTGTAGGTTCAACAGTGGTTGTTGGTTCAGGTGTGGTTGTTGGTTCAACAGTGGTTGTTGGTTCAACAGTGGTTGTTGGTTCAACAGTGGTTGTTTGTTCAACAGTGGTTGTTTGTTCAACAGTCGTTGTTGGTTCAACAGTGGTTGTTGGTTCAACAGTGGTTGTTGGTTCAGGTGTGGTGGTTGGTTCAACAGTGGTTGTTGGTTCAGGTGTGGTTGTTGGTTCAACAGTGGTTGTTGGTTCAACAGTGGTTGTTGGTTCAGTTGTGGTTGTTGGTCCGAGAGTGGTTGTTGGTTCAACAGTGGTTGTTGGTTCGACAGTGGTTGTTGGTTCAACAGTGGTTGTTGGTTCAACAGTTGTTGTTGGTTCAACAGTGGTTGTTGGTTCAACAGTGGTTGTTTGTTCAACAGTGGTTGTTGGTTCAACAGTGGTTGTTGGTTCAGGTGTGGTTGTTGGTTCAACAGTAGTTGTTGGTTCAACAGTGGTTGTTGGTTCAGGTGTGGTTGTTGGTCCGAGAGTGGTTGTTGGTTCAACAGTGGTTGTTGGTTCAACAGTGGTTGTTGGTTCAACAGTGGTTGTTGGTTCAACAGTGGTTGTTGGTTCAACAGTGGTTGTTGGTTCAACAGTGGTTGTTGGTACATGTGTGGTTGTAGGTTCAACAGTGGTTGTTGGTTCAAAAGTGGTTGTTGTTTCAACAGTGGTTGTTGGTTCAACAGTGGTTGTTGGTTCAACAGTGGTTGTTTGTATAACAGTGGATGTTGGTTCAAAAGTGGTTGTTGTTTCAACAGTGGTTGTTGGTTCAACAGTGGTTGTTGGTTCAACAGTGGTTGTTGATTCAACAGTGGTTGTTGGTTCAACAGTGGTTGTTGGTTCAGCAGTGGTTGTTGGTTCAACAGTGGTTGTTGGTTCAACAGTGGTTGTCATTTCAGGTGTGGTTGTTGGTTCAACAGTGGTTGTACGTTCAACAGTGGTTGTTTGTTCAACAGTGGTTGTTTGTACAACAGTGGTTTTTGGTTCAACAGTGGTTGTTGGTTCAACAGTGGTTGTTGGTTCAACAGTGGTTGTTGGTTCGACAGTAGTAGTTGGTTCAACAGTGGTTGTTGGTTCAACAGTGGTTGTTGGTTCAACAGTGGTTGTTGGTTCAACAGTGGTTGTTGGTTCAACAGTCGTTGTTGGTTCAACAGTGGTTGTTGATTCAACAGTGGTTGTTGGTTCAACAGTAGTTGTTTGTTCAACAGTGGTTGTTGATTCAACAGTGGTTGTTGGTTCAACAGTAGTTGTTTGTTCAACAGTGGTTGTTGGTACAGGTGTGGTTGTTGGTTCAACAGTGGTTGTTGGTTCAAAAGTGGTTGTTTGTTCAACAGTGGTTGTTGGTTCAACAGTGGTTGTTGGTTCAACAGTGGTTGTTGATTCAACAGTGGTTGTTGGTTCAGCAGTGGTTGTTGGTTCAGGTGTGGTTGTTGGTCCAACAGTGGTTGTTGGTTCAACAGTGGTTGTTGGTTCAACAGTGGTTGTTGATTCAACAGTGGTTGTTGTTTCAACAGTAGTTGTTTGTTCAACAGTGGTTGTTGGTTCAGGTGTGGTTGTTGGTTCAACAGTGGTTGTAGGTTCAACAGTGGTTGTTGGTTCAACAGTGGTTGTTGGTTCAGGTGTGGTTGTTGGTGCAACAGTGGTTGTAGGTTCAACAGTAGTTGTTGGTTCAACAGTGGTTGTTGGTTCAGGTGTGGTTGTTCGTTCAACAGTGGTTGTTGGTTCAGGTGTGGTTGTTGGTTCAACAGTGGTTGTTGGTTCAACAGTGGTTGTTGGTTCGACAGTGGTTGTTGGTTCGACAGTGGTTGTTGGTTCAACAGTTGTTGTTGGTTCAACAGTGGTTGTTGGTTCAACAGTGGTTGTTGGTTCGACAGTGGTTGTTGGTTCAACAGTGGTTGTTGGTTCAACAGTGGTTGTTGATTCAACAGTGGTTGTTGGTTCAGCAGTGGTTGTTGGTTCAGGTGTGGTTGTTGGTTCAACAGTGGTTGTTGGTTCAACAGTCGTTGTTGGTTCAACAGTGGTTGTTGATTCAACAGTGGTTGTTGGTTCAACAGTAGTTGTTTGTTCAACAGTGGTTGTTGATTCAACAGTGGTTGTTGGTTCAACAGTAGTTGTTTGTTCGACAGTGGTTGTTGGTACAGGTGTGGTTGTTGGTTCAACAGTGGTTGTTGGTTCAAAAGTGGTTGTTTGTTCAACAGTGGTTGTTGGTTCAACAGTGGTTGTTGGTTCAACAGTGGTTGTTGATTCAACAGTGGTTGTTGGTTCAGCAGTGGTTGTTGGTTCAGGTGTGGTTGTTGGTCCAACAGTGGTTGTTTGTTCAACAGTGGTTGTTGGTTCAACAGTGGTTGTTGGTTCAACAGTGGTTGTTGATTCAACAGTGGTTGTTGGTTCAACAGTGGTTGTTGGTTGAAGTGTGGTCGTTGGTTCAGCAGTGGTTGTTAGTTCAAAAGTGGTGGTTTGTTCAACAGTGGTTGTTGGTTCAGGTGTGGTTGTTGGTTCAGGTGTGGTTGTTGGTTCAACAGTGGTTGTTGGTTCAACAGTGGTTGTTGATTCAACAGTGGTTGTTGGTTCAACAGTGGTTGTTGGTTCAACAGTGGTTGTTTGTACAACAGTGGTTGTTGGTTCAACAGTGGTTGTTGGTTGAACAGTGGTTGTCGGTTCAGCAGTGGTTGTTGGTTCAAAAGTGGTGGTTTGTTCAACAGTGGTTGTTGGTTCAGGTGTGGTTGTTGGTTGAACAGTGGTTGTAGGTTCAACAGTGGTTGTTGTTTCAGATGTGGTTGTTGGTTCAACAGTGGTTGTTGGTTCAGGTGTGGTTGTTGGTTCAACAGTGGTTGTTGGTTCAACAGTGGTTGTTGATTCAACAGTGGTTGTTGGTTCAACAGTGGTTGTTGGTTCAACAGTGGTTGTTGGTTCAACAGTGGTTGTTGGTTCAGGTGTGGTTGTTGGTTCAACAGTGGTTGTTGATTCAACAGTGGTTGTTGCTTCAACAGTAGTTGTTGGTTCAACAGTGGTTGTTGGTTCAGGTGTGGTTGTTGGTTCAACAGTGGTTGTAGGTTCAACAGTGGTTGTTGGTTCAACAGTGGTTGTTGGTTCAGGTGTGGTTGTTGGTGCAACAGTGGTGGTAGGTTCAACAGTGGTTGTTGGTTCAACAGTGGTTGTTTGTTCAACAGTGGTTGTTGGTTCAGGTGTGGTTGTTGGTTCAACAGTGGTTGTTGGTTCAGGTGTGGTTGTTGGTTCAACAGTGGTTGTTGGTTCAACAGTGGTTGTTGGTTCAGGTGTGGTTGTTGGTCCGAGAGTGGTTGTTGGTTCAACAGTGGTTGTTGGTTCGACAGTGGTTGTTGGTTCAACAGTGGTTGTTGGTTCAACAGTTGTTGTTGGTTCAACAGTGGTTGTTGGTTCAACAGTGGTTGTTTGTTCAACAGTGGTTGTTGGTTCAACAGTGGTTGTTGGTTCAGGTGTGGTTGTTGGTTCAACAGTAGTTGTTGGTTCAACAGTGGTTGTTGGTTCAGGTGTGGTTGTTGGTCCGAGAGTGGTTGTTGGTTCAACAGTTGTTGCTGGTTCAACAGTGGTTGTTGGTTCAACAGTGGTTGTTGGTTCAACAGTGGTTGTTGGTTCAACAGTGGTTGTTGGTACATGTGTGGTTGTAGGTTCAACAGTGGTTGTTTGTACAACAGTGGTTGTTGGTTCAACAGTGGTTGTTGGTTCAACTGTGGTTGTTGGTTCAACAGTGGTTGTTGGTTCGACAGTGGTTGTTGGTTCAACAGTGGTTGTTGGTTCAACAGTTGTTGTTGGTTCAACAGTGGTTGTTGGTTCAACAGTGGTTGTTTGTTCAACAGTGGTTGTTGGTTCAACAGTGGTTGTTGGTTCAGGTGTGGTTGTTGGTTCAACAGTAGTTGTTGGTTCAACAGTGGTTGTTGGTTCAGGTGTGGTTGTTGGTCCGAGAGTGGTTGTTGGTTCAACAGTGGTTGTTGGTTCAACAGTGGTTGTTGGTTCAACAGTGGTTGTTGGTTCGACAGTGGTTGTTGGTTCAACAGTGGTTGTTGGTTCAACAGTTGTTGTTGGTTCAACAGTGGTTGTTGGTTCAACAGTGGTTGTTTGTTCAACAGTGGTTGTTGGTTCAACAGTGGTTGTTGGTTCAGGTGTGGTTGTTGGTTCAACAGTAGTTGTTGGTTCAACAGTGGTTGTTGGTTCAGGTGTGGTTGTTGGTCCGAGAGTGGTTGTTGGTTCAACAGTGGTTGTTGGTTCAACAGTGGTTGTTGGTTCAACAGTGGTTGTAGGTTCAACAGTGGTTGTTGGTTCAACAGTGGTTGTTTGTTCAACAGTGGTTGTTGGTTCAACAGTGGTTGTTGGTTCAACTGTGGTTGTTGGTTCAACAGTAGTTGTTGGTTCAACAGTGGTTGTTGGTTCAACAGTGGTTGTTGGTTCAACAGTGGTTGTTGATTCAACAGTGGTTGTTGGTTCAGCAGTGGTTGTTGGTTCAGGTGTGGTTGTTGGTCCAACAGTGGTTGTTGGTTCAACAGTGGTTGTTGGTTCAACAGTGGTTGTTGGTTCAACAGTGGTTGTTGGTCCAACAGTGGTTGTCGGTTCAGGTGTGGTTGTTGGTTCAACAGTGGTTGTTGGTTCAACAGTAGTTGTTTGTTCAACAGTGGTTGTTGGTTCAACAGTGGTTGTTGGTTCAACAGTGGTTGTTGATTCAACAGTGGTTGTTGGTTCAGCAGTGGTTGTTGGTTCAGATGTGGTTGTTGGTCCAACAGTGGTTGTTTGTTCAACAGTGGTTGTTGGTTCAACAGTGGTTGTTGGTTCAACAGTGGTTGTTGATTCAACAGTGGTTGTTGGTTCAACAGTGGTTGTTGGTTGAAGTGTGGTCGTTGGTTCAGCAGTGGTTGTTAGTTCAAAAGTGGTGGTTTGTTCATCAGTGGTTGTTGGTTCAGGTGAGGTTGTTGGTTCAGGTGTGGTTGTTGGTTCAACAGTGGTTGTTGGTTCAACAGTGGTTGTTGATTCAACAGTGGTTTTTGGTTCAACAGTGGTTGTTGGTTCAACAGTGGTTGTTTGTACAACAGTGGTTGTTGGTTCAACAGTGGTTGTTGGTTGAACAGTGGTTGTCGGTTCAGCAGTGGTTGTTGGTTCAAAAGTGGTGGTTTGTTCAACAGTGGTTGTTGGTTCAGGTGTGGTTGTTGGTTGAACAGTGGTTGTAGGTTCAACAGTGGTTGTTGGTTCAGATGTGGTTGTTGGTTCAACAGTGGTTGTTGGTTCAGGTGTGGTTGTTGGTTCAACAGTGGTTGTTGGTTTAACAGTGGTTGTTGATTCAACAGTGGTTGTTGGTTCAACAGTGGTTGTTGGTTCAACAGTGGTTGTTGGTTCAACAGTGGTTGTTGGTTCAGGTGTGGTTGTTGGTTCAACAGTGGTTGTTGATTCAACAGTGGTTGTTGTTTCAACAGTAGTTGTTGGTTCAACAGTGGTTGTTGGTTCAGGTGTGGTTGTTGGTTCAACAGTGGTTGTAGGTTCAACAGTGGTTGTTGGTTCAACAGTGGTTGTTGGTTCAGGTGTGGTTGTTGGTGCAACAGTGGTGGTAGGTTCAACAGTGGTTGTTGGTTCAACAGTGGTTGTTTGTTCAACAGTGGTTGTTGGTTCAGGTGTGGTTGTTGGTTCAACAGTGGTTGTTGGTTCAGGTGTGGTTGTTGGTTCAACAGTGGTTGTTGGTTCAACAGTGGTTGTTGGTTCAGGTGTGGTTGTTGGTCCGAGAGTGGTTGTTGGTTCAACAGTGGTTGTTGGTTCGACAGTGGTTGTTGGTTCAACAGTGGTTGTTGGTTCAACAGTTGTTGTTGGTTCAACAGTGGTTGTTGGTTCAACAGTGGTTGTTTGTTCAACAGTGGTTGTTGGTTCAACAGTGGTTGTTGGTTCAGGTGTGGTTGTTGGTTCAACAGTAGTTGTTGGTTCAACAGTGGTTGTTGGTTCAGGTGTGGTTGTTGGTCCGAGAGTGGTTGTTGGTTCAACAGTTGTTGCTGGTTCAACAGTGGTTGTTGGTTCAACAGTGGTTGTTGGTTCAACAGTGGTTGTTGGTTCAACAGTGGTTGTTGGTACATGTGTGGTTGTAGGTTCAACAGTGGTTGTTTGTACAACAGTGGTTGTTGGTTCAACAGTGGTTGTTGGTTCAACTGTGGTTGTTGGTTCAACAGTGGTTGTTGGTTCGACAGTGGTTGTTGGTTCAACAGTGGTTGTTGGTTCGACAGTTGTTGTTGGTTCAACAGTGGTTGTTGGTTCAACAGTGGTTGTTTGTTCAACAGTGGTTGTTGGTTCAACAGTGGTTGTTGGTTCAGGTGTGGTTGTTGGTTCAACAGTAGTTGTTGGTTCAACAGTGGTTGTTGGTTCAGGTGTGGTTGTTGGTCCGAGAGTGGTTGTTGGTTCAACAGTGGTTGTTGGTTCAACAGTGGTTGTTGGTTCAACAGTGGTTGTTGGTTCAACAGTGGTTGTTGGTTCAACAGTGGTTGTTGGTTCAACAGTGGTTGTTGGTTCAACAGTGGTTGTTGGTACATGTGTGGTTGTAGGTTCAACAGTGGTTGTTTGTTCAACAGTGGTTGTTGGTTCAACAGTGGTTGTTGGTTCAACTGTGGTTGTTGGTTCAACAGTAGTTGTTGATTCAACAGTGGTTGTTGGTTCAACAGTGGTTGTTGGTTCAACAGTGGTTGTTGATTCAACAGTGGTTGTTTGTTCAGCAGTGGTTGTTGGTTCAGGTGTGGTTGTAGGTTCAACAGTGGTTGTTGGTTCAACAGTGGTTGTTTGTTCAACAGTGGTTGTTGGTTCAACAGTGGTTGTTGGTTCAACTGTGGTTGTTGGTTCAACAGTAGTTGTTGGTTCAACAGTGGTTGTTGGTTCAACAGTGGTTGTTGGTTCAACAGTGGTTGTTGATTCAACGGTGGTTGTTGGTTCAGCAGTGGTTGTTGGTTCAGGTGTGGTTGTTGGTCCAACAGTGGTTGTTGGTTCAACAGTGGTTGTTGGTTCAACAGTGGTTGTTGGTTCAACAGTGGTTGTTGGTCCAACAGTGGTTGTCGGTTCAGGTGTGGTTGTTGGTTCAACAGTGGTTGTTGATTCAACAGTGGTTGTTGTTTCAACAGCAGTTGTTTGTTCAACAGTGGTTGTTGGTTCAGGTGTGGTTGTTAGTTCAACAGTGGTTGTAGGTTCAACAGTGGTTGTTGGTTCAACAGTGGTTGTTGGTTCAGGTGTGGTTGTTGGTGCAACAGTGGTTGTAGGTTCAACAGTGGTTGTTGGTTCAACAGTGGTTGTTGGTTCAACAGTGGTTGTTGGTTCAACAGTGGTTGTTGGTACAGCAGTGGTTGTTGGTTCAACAGTGGTTGTTGATTCAACAGTGGTTGTTGGTTCAACAGTGGTTGTTGATTCAACAGTGGTTGTTGGTTCAGCAGTGGTTGTTGGTTCAGGTGTGGTTGTTGGTTCAACAGTGGTTGTTGGTTCAACAGTCGTTGTTGGTTCAACAGTGGTTGTTGATTCAACAGTGGTTGTTGGTTCAACAGTAGTTGTTTGTTCAACAGTGGTTGTTGATTCAACAGTGGTTGTTGGTTCAACAGTAGTTGTTTGTTCGACAGTGGTTGTTGGTACAGGTGTGGTTGTTGGTTCAACAGTGGTTGTTGGTTCAAAAGTGGTTGTTTGTTCAAAAGTGGTTGTTGGTTCAACAGTGGTTGTTGGTTCAACAGTGGTTGTTGATTCAACAGTGGTTGTTGGTTCAGCAGTGGTTGTTGGTTCAGGTGTGGTTGTTGGTCCAACAGTGGTTGTTGGTTCAACAGTGGTTGTTGGTTCAACAGTGGTTGTTGGTTCAACAGTGGTTGTTGATTCAACAGTGGTTGTTGGTTCAACAGTGGTTGTTAGTTCAACAGTGGTTGTTGGTTGAAGTGTGGTCGTTGGTTCAACAGTGGTTGTTGGTTCAAAAGTGGTGGTTTGTTCAACAGTGGTTGTTGGTTCAGGTGTGGTTTTTGGTTCAACAGTGGTTGTTGGTTCAACAGTGGTCGTTGATTCAACAGTGGTTGTTGGTTCAACAGTGGTTGTTGGTTCAACAGTGGTTGTTGGTTGAAGTGTGGTCGTTGGTTCAGCAGTGGTTGTTGGTTCAAAAGTGGTGGTTTGTTCAACAGTGGTTG